CGCGCTGTTGTGTGTACTTCACGAAGCATACTTGGGGTAGTCCTCAAGCATTGATCTTATTTAAAGCCAATTATATGGCTCCATCGCATTGTGTTGTTTGTCCGATCAGAATCGCACGTGAACCTGTTTTTTTCAATACCGGGTACATACAGTATGTAGTGGACAGAACGATGTAGCGCTGAAAATCCAATCTGTCGCTCTAGGTCGGTCGTCTCAACATGATAGCGACTAGCGCTGTCGCACTAGCGCGCCAGAAAGCGATATTAGAACGAGAGACCGCTCGCGGACAACACTTGACAATATCACACCGTTAAACCAATGGCAGGTTGTGCAGATATCGGTACACGAGCACGACGAGAGCGACGACGATCCCGCCAAGTTGGAAGATCACGAATGGTGTGAGGAGGGCCATCGGGTTGGACGCGCATACATTGCACAGCCCAAAGTTCTCGTCGACTTCGTTGACCGATACTCGACCTTCGCACTTCTTGCACGATGTGAGTTCGGCTGTGGCAGCCTCGAGTTTCTTCTTTGGCACTGTAGCCGCGGCAGCCAGCGCTGGTTCGGCAGCTTCCTTCGCCAGACGCTCTTCTTCTTCCTTCTTTCGGCGCTGGGCATCCAGTTGCGGGCCGCGGATGAAGTTGAGGTACAGGAACAGTAGTGGGTTCATCTTGACGGCGGGGAATAGTTTATGCCGCCGCCCGGTGGATTCGGACAATCCGGTTAATACCACGATTCTTATCCGTACTTCCTCTTCCACGCTGGCGGTCACTATTCCGTGAATAGTGACTTCACAGTTTGCAGTCCGTTTCAGCGCCACTTGCTGTTGGGACACCGATGCGTGCGTGGTTGTGGCTCCTGGTGGCACTGGCCGCGGCAACCGCGCTCCGAATGCAGGAGGATCTACCACCGGATCAAGATAACGACGACGCAGACCCGAACCAGATCTCCGCGGAGGAGAGAGCCGCCGAAGACGAGAAAGCCGAGAACGATGTGATGGCTATGAAACATTCGCATTAGCCACGTATGCCCCATTTCCAAAGCCAGACGTCAAGTACAGGTTTCGTTCTTGCGTTGGAAGGAGCTTGTCGTGCGGCGGATATGGTGCCCCTTTAGGCTGAATTGTACCGTCAATTGGTGCATAACCTCCCTCAGCAACACCACAACACGAACGAATTCATTCCACAGGCATGTGGTGTTTGATGACAAACCCATTTCACCCGTGTTAGTGAATACAAGACCTCCTGACGCCAGATCTTCGGGTTTTGCGTCCCGACCTCTTTGAATTGTGCACCTTTGATGTGGCTGCTGCTGCTGCAGTTCTACATGTTCAATCGGGTGGGTTCGCTCCCACCCGATTGCACGCCCACCTAAAGCACAGTGACGGCGACGTTTTTAGCTTTCCCAGAGGTCGCTCTGGTGTGCCAACGACCCCCCCCCCTTCCTTGCCTGCACCCTAAGTTCCATCGACAAAGCACGCATCACACTGCTTTCCACTAGCTCTCGCATCCCGTCGGGGCTCTCTGCTGCACATTTACTTCGCGTGGGGGGTCGCAGAGGATCGGTAGTCTCTATTTGCCCTCTTTATAAATTCTATCGTTCGAAATCCACTCGAAAGGTTGCAAGCGCGTTTTCACACGCCAAGCGGCGGTCCAACACTACTCGATTTTCCACCGTTATGAAGGTTCTCATTGTAGCTCTGTGTGTGGCGTTGGGTGCATGCACCGACACGCCAAACTTGCGCCGAGAGCTGCGCCTCAACACCTGGTACGATGACGCAAGCGAAGGCGACTACTACGCCCAGGCCGACCAAGTCGCGCAGGAACCCCGCGGGTATAACGCGAACCAACAGTTCCACCAGTGGCAGGAGGCGCAAATGCAGCAGCTGTACAACAAAGAGGGCTTTGGGAACTAAAGCGGTCGCTTCGAGTCATGTCAAGGCCAAGAAGCCGCGCTGTTGTGGATGTAGTTGCCCTTTGTGGGGTGGTATTCGTTAACTATAAATGTCCATGTTGAAGTTGCCTTTCGGGTCAATATCATGACACACAAGACAGATAACCATGCGCTACCACCCCTACCGCGGCGGCAGCAGCTTGGCCCCTACTTGGCAAGGCAGGACTTGGCCGCGCGATTGCCGCTGACGTGGTGACGTCGCTGCGATGCGCCCTTGCGGCCGATCTAATTCCGTGAATACGAAACCCCCGCCCGAGGCATCCAATCGAGTTTAAGAGGTCGATGCACATGCCGCAGCGGCTTGGCAGCGGATGTCTCGAGTTCAAGCGCTGCTGAACCGGATGGTCGAGTACGCGAGCGACCCGAACACGATCAAGACTTGCTGCGGAGTCCTCTCGATCCTCTCGCGGAGCGAGGACAAGAAGACAGAGATTGCCAACGCCGGCCTCGCCATCGTTTTGAAAGCGATGAATGCCCACATGGCCAACGAAGACCTCGTGGAGGCTGCGTGTGACCTCCTCTGGACGCTCGCGTTCAACAACAAGCCCGTCAAAGCCAGCATCAGTGCCCATGGCGGCATCGCGACGCTCCTTCGGTGCGTCGACGTCCATCGACTGAACCCGGCGCTGCTTCGATCCGCGCTCGGGACGTTGAGCAATCTCAGTCAACTCGCCGACAACCAGCAACACATCGGTGTCGGACTTCCTGTCGTGGTGGCGGCCATGCAGCTGCACGTCCGCAACGTCGATCTGCTCGCGTTCGCGTTGGACACACTGACTAGCATCATCATCGGCCACGATCGCAACTGCCGCGTCGTATATGACCTTGGGATCATCGACTTCCTCCTGGACGTGCTCAAGGACTACAACCAACACGCAAGCGCATCCCGTTTGGCAGTTGTCAAGTCGGCGTGCCACACACTTGCCATCGTGTGCGAGCTCCAGGGGGTGGGCAAGTGCATCGCGGACGCGCACGGCGTGGCGGCAATCGTCGCGGCCATGTGTGCAGCCGCGCCGCTTCCGACCGACGTCGAGCGCATCATTACCGTTCTCCTATTCCGCATCTCGAAAGACCCTGCCGTGGTGCCCCAAATGGTTCACGACGGAGTTGTTCTCGTATTGTTCCGAGTCCTGGCGAACCAGCGGACCGGCGCCATGTGCTCTGAGACGCTCCTCGCGACTTGCCATATCTTGTGCTTGATGACACAGTTCGCCAGCTCTCACGCGGTCGACTTGAGCCCGTATGTGCCGGTGTCGTCGTGCCACGGGGATCTTCTCCTGCGCCTCGCCGCCGACAACACGGCGCCGCTCGCCTTGTCCATCTTCCGCCTTCTGGTAACAACACGGCATCGTTGAAACACCTATATCATGCAAAAGTGAACCCGATTAGGCGCACTTGTCCCGCAACCCAGTCCCGCTCCCAGCGCTTGTGAACGTTGCGACGATGGAAAGCATGCTGGCCCTCGCGACGCTGCATGGGAACCCTCCCGAGATGCTCCAGCTCGTTCTCGATGTCCTTGTACACCTCCGGCGATCCATGATCGCAGCGCAGCCCCTCCGGTCACCGGAAAAGTCGCTCGCGGCTCTCCTCGTCGCGATTCGGACGTTCCCGGAAGACATCGAGCTGCTCGACCAAGTCTTTTGCGTCGTCACCGCGTACAGTTTGTCCGACTCGTCGTCCCATCCCCGCACCGTGTTTGGCTTCATTGGCGCTGCCATGAGGTGCCTCAGTCGATATTCGAGCGCGAACTGGGCACCCCAATGCATGATCGAGGCATGCCGTTTCCTGCTGCACGTCATGGGGTCCAAGGAAGGCGTCGACAGCATGGTCAGCTGTGGGGGCGTCAACATTCTGTGCCAGTTTAATCGCGACGTGTTTGCAGCCCCTGCTGACGTCCCTGCCGACCTTCAAAAGCTTCTCCATGCAATGTGTCTTCGACTCGAAACCCCGTTTGCCGGTCCATCCCCCACGGCGCCCGCTGTCATGAAGAGCGAGGTCGTCGGAGAAGCGGCTGGCTGCATGCCCAGTGGTACCCAGCAGCACGACGATGACGACGATGAAGACGAAGAGGATGAGAATCCAATGGAGGAGGACGAAGAAGACGAGGATGAACAAGACAGCGACTACACCGACGAACTCCGCGTCGTGGATCATCCCCAGGTAGACGACGAGGCCGTGGCGCAGTGCGACCATCGATCGTCACCGGACGATGGCGCCGCCTCTGCGCCGCCGCCTTGTACTGCGGCTCCGTCCAGCGTAGTCACGGCAGACGCGAGCACCCCTCTACGTCCCGTGACCGTCCCGCCGGCCGCGTTGGTTTCGTACCTCATCCAAACGTTCGCACACCCCCAGGACGTAGTCCCATCCGAACGAAGTGCCGCCACCGTCAGCGAACACCGGTATACGTACACAAGCCACTCGAGCGGGTACCACCTGCCGAAACATCCCCTCGTCCGCCTGCCGTCCGGCGGCGCACCCCAACCACCCGCCGCCACGACGTTGCTGACGACGTGTCCTGTGCACAACGAGCCGGCTACATCCACGTTTGCCAGTTCCGCCGACATGCAGCAGTACATTGAGTTGCGCATGGCCATGCGCGTCGCGCTGGTGCAAACCAACCATGCTGACGCTCAAGTCGTGTACCAAAGCACGCGACCGGCCGGAAACGCGTCGCTCGCGTCGGCAGTCCCCACCGACGTGTACCCGTATGCTGTGGGTTTCCCGACGTCGAGCGACGCCCGTCGGTTCGGTGCCCCCTTGACGTTCGACTCGGAGTTTGACGCAGGCAATCTCCTCCGCGCGGTGCAAGTAGCCGACACCGAGTTCGACCTCATCTTGCGCCCAGACGTGCACACGACCGGGTACACGCAATGGTTTTACTTTGCCGTCGCGAATGCCCAGCCGTCGGTGGCGTACACATTCCACATTGTCAACTTGTACAAACCAGACAGCCTCTTCAACACGGGGCTCCAGCCGGTCGTGTACTCGGTGCAGGACGCAAGCACCGACGCGATCGGGTGGAAGCGCGCCGGGACAGACGTGTGCTACTATGCCAACCCGTACAAGCAGCCAAAACAGACCAAGGCGGACGACGGCCACGCGAGTACGTTTTTCACCATGAGCTTTACCTTGACCTTTCCTCGCGCCGACGACACGTACCTCATTGCGCACAGCTACCCGTACACGATGGCCGACCACAAGTGGCACCTCCGTCAGCCTCCGTTTCAGTGCGCGGACGTCGTGCGCAAGTCGGTGCTGTGCCGAACGCTTGGGCAACAAGACTGCGACGTCCTCTCGATCACCGATTTCGCGTACACCCATGACGCGCTCGAGACGCGCCCGGTGATCGTCTTGACGGCGCGAGTCCATCCTGGCGAGCCCCAAGCAAGCTGGGTCATGCGCGGTGTCCTGGATTTTCTCGTGTCCGATGCACCCGACGCCAAGCTCCTCCGGCGCGTCTTTGTGTTTAAGGTCGTGCCGGTTTTGAATCCGGACGGCGTGCTGTACGGCAACAACCGATGCGGCCTCGCGGGTTGCGACTTGAATCGGCAGTGGAAGGCGCCGACGGCGGCGCGCCACCCGACGATTTTTGCCATCAAGGCCGTCATGCAGACGCTCCCTGTCGTGTTTTACTGCGATATCCATGGCCACAGTCGCAAGAAGAATGTGTTCATGTACGGGTGCGACACACCCAAGCACGCCAACCCGATCGCCCGGACATTTCCCAAGCTCCTGAGCAGCCACTGGGTCGGCCGCCAGTACGTAAGCCTCGACTCGTGCAACTTTCAAGTGAACCGCGGGAGGGAATCGACGGCGCGGGTTGTCGTTGGCCGTGACATGGGCATCGCCAACAGCTTCACGCTCGAGGCATCGTTTTGCGGGGCCGACTTTGGGCGGCTCGCAAACCAACACTTCAATCTGCGCCACTTTGACGACATTGGGCTCGCGTTCGGGCAGTCGCTGGCCGACTACGCCATGCCGGATGGAATGGACCGAGGGACGGTGTACGAATGGCTGCAGAGCCCGGACGAATGCCAAGATATTCGACGGTACATCGAGACATTGTACAACGGTCGGCTTGCCGAGCAACAACTCGCGGGCATCGTGCCCCTGCACATGACACTTGGGCCGTTGTTCGAGCGCAAGGGGTCGTTTGCGCGATTGCTCAAGAAACCAGCCAAGGGCACGCATAAGAAGAAGAAGAAGAAAAAGGCCGCGTCGCAGCCGCCAGCAGCACTCGTCCCCGTTATCGTTGTGCCGAAGCAGCTCCCGTTGCCGGCCGCTGCCATTACGTCCACAGGCACGTTGAAGAAGCCATCCACCAAGCCGGCGAAGAAGGCTGCGACGTCGTCAGGTCCCAAAGTTATATTGGGAAAGCCCGGGACGCCGCCACCACTAGCTCTCAAGAAAGCGCTGAGTTTGCCGAGTCCAAAGATCCAAGCGGCGCGGCTCAAGAACCCGCCCCTGATGTAAGTGTTCATTCCGTGGATCTGTGATGGCAGTCGTGGCGTAGAGAGAATAATGCGCAGGACGGTTCGTCCATGAGTCGGTTTAAGAGCCCGAGCTTTCGACGGCTGACCCAGTTCACGCCACCGAGGTACGTCCCGTCCATCTCTCCGTCGTCCATGACGCGCGATCGCTTTGTCACGTAGCTTGCGCGAGGCCGAGGAGGCACCCGCGTCGGCGCGGCGGCGCATTAGCTTTCCAACAGTTAGTAAATAGCCCATCCTGTATCTCTTGGTCTGTCTTGCTCCCAACAACTTCTTGGCCACACGGGGAATGTCGAATTCTGCTATAGCTCCACGGCATCCAGAGTCGCTTCAAGCGCCAAGAGCCGCTCCTTTCTTGTGGCAAATTCCCGTTGCAGATGGGTGCGAACGCTGGCAAAATGCACCTCGAGTAGATCTGACGTGGACGGGACGTGCAGCGGGCGCGACTTGCGCAGTTTTCGACACACTTGGGCCATCGCGTACAGCAGTACGGACGCTACCGATTCCCCATGTGAGTGTTTCCCAACAACCAAAATCAAACTGACCTGCTTGAAACGCCGCTGCATCGTGCTTCTTGTCGCGGCGACACACGTGCAAATTCCACGTCGCCTGGATGAGTCGCGCAGACGCGTTGGCTGTCTGCTTGGCTTGTTTTTCCTTCTCAAGGAGGTCAAAGACCGTCACGTCGGCGTCCGTGAGCTCGAGCATGGCGAAGAACGACGCGCTGAGCATTCCCGTCAGCAGGATCCCGCTCACCATGGCGAATACAATCATGACGACCTGGCCTGCCGTCGTCATTGGCACGCGATCGCCGTACCCGACGGTGGCCATCGTCACAACGGTCAGCCACACGGCATTCGCATATGTCGACACGAGGGGATTCACCGGCGCTTCCAGGATCCAAATCGCGCTGGCCGTCGTGAAGACGGACGTGAGGAAGCCGAGGCCGAGGAACGCAAACGGGTTCGTGCGTAGGAGGTATTTGATCGCAAAGAGAGTCCCGAGCGCATCCACGTTGTTGAGGCTCCCGATGAACGCGATGCGGTAGCTACGAAATGTGGGAAGCCGTCGGCCGACGATGTGCTGGTTTACCAGTAGAAATCGGACAAGTTGCGGACAAAGCGAGGCACCATGTAAACGCGAACGAGCTGGACGAGGCCGAGGACTTGGTACCTACGTTAGAGATGAGCATCGAGCGCATGTGTGAAGTACGCACGGGTAAGCGTAGAGGAGATAGCAGTCGCGGCCGTCGAGCGTTCCGTCAAACTTGCAGAATGGAAGGTGGGACACTGGGTCAATTTGGGCGCGGGTGATCCATTGGCGCACAGAAAAGGATCCTTCCGTGATGAAGGGGGGTACGGTGAGACTGCATAGAAGGAACTCCACGAGAAAGCCGAGAACGACATACGAAGGGAGCTCGTGGAAGCGAACGTCGGGTGGCAACGACCCTTTTCCGATAAAAATGTCGACTTCGATGCAGTAGCGTCGGACGAGCAGACCGAGCAAGGCAACGGTCAGTGCCGTGTTCACGACGCGGATCCAACTCGTCTCAAGCGCGCAGTCGACAAATACGAACAAGACACTCGTCCCCGAGATGGCGCACATGGTCTGTTCGACGGTGCGGCGGTTGTTGTAGTCGACATTGAGCTTGTGGATCGCGCGGACATGCTCCGCTGTTTGAACAAAGGAGCGCTTGAATGCCTCGTCGTCCTTGAGACGGTCCTCGAGCTGCTGCGCATACACACGCTTCTTCTTCTGCCACAGATCGTCCGCCATGCCCCTTGGTCTCTCAACCGCCTCGCACGGAATCACCTGCGGGCGGACGTTTCGACTGGCATCCGGATTCATCCGGATGATGGACCGGATACCGTTGCTCCCCTTCCGGATGTATTCGATCGCCAATTTGCATTCCGCCGCCGCCCATCATGGCAACGATCGGAACCGACCCGACGACAACCACGTACGCATACATTGGCATCGTGGTGGGCTTTGTCGTGTTCGTTGCGACGCTTGGGGCTGTCTTCATGCTGCTGTACTTTGGTGGGTCCTTTGACCGCATGAAGCACGAGGCTGCGGGATTGCCAACGTCAAACGACCAAATCAAGCCACTATTGTACGACGATTTGCTCGAGAAAGCCGCCTCGCTCGCGCTCAAGCCTGCTGCGTACTCGCTGGATGGCCAGTTTGTCCACGTTCGACCTTTGGATAGCATTCCCGATCGAAAAGGCATTGTTTCGACGCTTTATGAGATCTCGTCGGGACGAGCCATCAGCGGCATATACGGCGGGAAGGCATTTGATGCAGATGCGACGCTGTGGCGCTATATGTTGTCTGGACCATATGCGACCGTCGAAGACTTTGAGAAGAGTCGATGCACCGAAGGCGACAACCAACGGCTCTTTGTTGTGGTATGTTCGCTCATACAAGAGTAACCCGGTTCATGCTCGTTGTCTAGCTTGATGCTGGCACGTCCAAACCGATTGGGATGGTCGGCCTCCTCAACCATTCCCCGAAAGATTTGCGCGTTGAAATAGGCGCGTTTTGGATCGTACCATCGTTCCAAGGCACTGGAATCCATCGGGAGGTCGTATACCTTCTCCTGGACGCGCTCTTTCGTAAAAACAACTACCGTCGGGTCGAGTGGAGATGCGACGGGTTCAACGTCCGGTCGCGCAAGACGGCACACAGCTTGGGGTTCACGATGGAAGGAGTGCTGCGGAAACACATGATCGCCAAGGGTGCCAACCGCGACACAGTCGTCTTCTCGGCGCTCAACGGCGAGTGGCCCGTCATCCAAGAAATGCTCCAGACCAAGCTCACCGCCATGCTCGCAAAGCGCCAGCCCAAATCGAAAGCCGACTGATTCGGGCATGACGATGTGATGATTGGATAAAGTAGAAGGAATATGAAGTTTTCGCTCCATTCGATTGGCTAAAAAGAATTTATACTCTCCAAAATCCTGACCACGTCGGGACCGACAAGAACTCTTCCCTGGCCCACACAGCGGAGTTGGGCATCCTACCGCGAACACGTGGCTAATGGAAGGAAGATGTGGTCCAAGCTGGATCACGGACTCCTTGCCTTCCAGTGCAATCCATTGGGATCGCTCCGGATCACCGGGCTGACGAGGGTGCTGCTGTGTCGACCTGCAAAGCGTTACTATTACTCCTGTTTGAGCGAATTGAAGCTGCCACTCCGCCGAGCCATGCGATATGCATTGTGGTCGATGGTGACGACGCCTTGATCGTGCTCGAGCCACGTGATGACTCGAATGCCCCACTTGTTGTCCTCGACGAGCCAGTGGTATGTGTACCACGTCTGGATCGTTACGTAGATGGCGATGAGGACGTCGAGCGTGTAGTGCAGCCTCGTCCCGATGATTGCAAACGCTCCGAGGGTGGACCCGATGACTGTTGCCGTCTTGACCAGTGTTAATACCCACGGGTACGCTCGCGTGAAGGGTGTGTTGAGCTCGGCCTTGGCGCAATACTAGGCAAGTCGAATCAGGAGCGACTCGAGAAGCGAGGCACTGTACCGTCGTGACCATGAGCGCGCAGAGGACGAGAAAGACGGTGTGGCCGCTGAAGATCATGTCTCCGCACGTGATGTGATGCGACGGTCGAATGAGGACCTTGAACGCTCGGTGGAATGCTTTGGGGAAGATAGGGAGAGACTTGTAGCGACCTTTGTGCGTGTCAAACTGCGAAATGCACATGGGGCTCGCGTCCGGAAGCGACGTGACGGCGACACAGAACGCCCGGAGGAAGTTAATCCAGGCGTAGATCATGGTGAAGCGGCGCAGAATGAGGAGGCGCTGCAATATCCACACATACGTCACGATCGAGGGGAGTGTCGTGGAGATCCGACGTACCCGCGGATGGACGATGAAGAGGATCGCGATAATAGATCCCACAAACGCAATGAATTCGTCGGGAAGGTCGAACCAGTCGATGTAGTCTGTGTCCCCGTACAGCATGGTCATGACAAACTTGAAAAGATCGTGGCCGAGGTCGGGAAGGGTCTTTTCTCCGCTGTCTTCTTTCGACATGGTCAAGATCACGACGTTCGGGGTGCGCCATCTAGGCGCAGGTTTAGCAACGCCAGCATGAGATTCGAACGGACCCTGCTATCACGGCCGCCAGTGCGTTGAAGTAGGACGCAATCCCAAACACAAAGATGGAGAACGACAGCCGCGAGAGGTAGTTGAAGCTGAGCATCTCGGCGATGAAGCCCTGGCGCGCCGAGTGGTCGATGGCGGTGGACGCAACATATCTTCCAACCGTCGTGATTCGATTCAGTCTTTTGTCGTCGATATAGGTCGACAGCCGCCGCTGGCTGCGCTTGTCGAAGACGGCGAGGAGGAGCCCTACGACCAGACACCCAAACGCGAGCATGAACATGAACCCAGCCGGGTCGAAGCCCGACACAGGGCGCATCTTCAGCGCGTAGAAGTGTGACGCTATGTAGCTCCCAAACGTGTGCCACATCTTGACCAAGTGCAGCGCCACGGCGCGGCCGACCATGGGGACGCTCTGTCGATGGAACAAAGGACTGAGCGAGCCAATCACCGCCCGAGCTCAAGATTCCTGACGCGGCTGCTCGAATATTGACCAATCTGTTCTCGATATGCATGAAAATCAAATGATAAGTCAAATGATTGGTTGACTTTCAGCCAATCAAGGATACGAAACCAGCAGCTCAAGGAAAAAGATGGGATTTGGCGCTAACGACGAAACGACTATGTGCCGCGGTTGCTCGAGCCGGGGCGCGACGGCGTCGAACTTCTTCGTGTGATGGAAGAAGATGAGCTGCGTCGCGCATCCGTCGTCCTCGGTTGTACCCGACCGGATCCGTTGCGATCCGAAGGCGCTGGCGGGGGCAGTGGTGCCGACGCGACTTCTTGTTTGAAATGCTTGACGACTTTCGTGTTGTACGACTTGCAATCGTCGTGCTGGCACTTGTGGTACACAAAGTGAAACTTGGTCTCGGACTTGCGTTCGCAGTCGCTGCAGTAGATCTGCGACCGGTAGTCTTGGTATTCGGCCGGCATTTGCTCGTGCGCGAGCAGGTCGTCGATCCGTGCAAAATACGCGCGCATATCGCCCAGTGACTTTGAACACAGCGGACAAATGTAGTTTGTCTACACGTCCACACACAATCATGAGCGCGCGCGACCGACCCAAAGCGAACGGACCTGCGTGTAATCTTCATAGCACGCAACATGCATGCAGTGCCCGCAAGGAAGAAACATGACGGGGGTCGTGGAGGTGAACATGTACACGTGGCAGATGGGGCAGTCGGATTCGAGCGACCGCTCGACGCACTTGTGCTTCTTGAGCGTGATGCTCATGCACGCGTTGCACTTGTCGCAGTGAAAGTAGTCGACGCCGAGGCCCTAACGTTTCACAAATTTCAGAAAAAAAACTCGAAAAACGCCCGAAATACCTTGCCAATTCGACAAATGCGGCACTTGTCGCAATGGTAAATGTCCTTGGTGTCGTCGTCGTCGTAAAACTTGCACTCGCCGCAAAAGTAGCGCGCAAACTCGACGCCGCATGTGTCGTTGATGCACTTGTGGCCCACGGGCTGAATTGTGTGGCACTCCATGCAGCTGATCTTCTCCGTCGCGTATCGGTCGAACGAGTGCTTCTCCTGCTCATCTGGAACACAGCCCCAAGGCCGTGAGTGCGTTCGTGCGGCTCAAGCGTACCATGGCAGAACCGGCACGTGTAAAACTTGTTGCAGCACTTGCCAAAGAGCTTGCACTTTCGCCTAGGTCGATGGTGAGGACGGAATGCAGATTTGCATACGCACTGGTAATGGGAGCACCCCTTGATGCCTTTTTCCTCGTTGTGGTACGTCACGATGGTGCGACCCGAGTCTGCGATCGGTGTGTCCGGCTTGCGCTCGGTCTGCTTTGGTGTCAACCGTTCCTGCGCTTCCGTCCACTGCTCCATCATGACTTTTTGCATCCCGTCGGCCTTTTCCTTGGGTGTCAGCGACTTGTTCGTTTGGATTTGCATGATGCGGGCCTTTAAGTTGGCCTGGGGATTGGCTGGGTCAACTGGTGTCTTTTCCAGGGGCGGAGGAAGCGCCGTGGGTCGAATCGACGGTCTGCGTTCACGTGTCTGTTCTTCCGTGGATTCCTGAATAGGTGGAGTTCCATCGACTTGGTTCGTCGAATCGACCCCCATGTCGTCGTCGTCTATCGAGACAGCTGACCCTTCTCCGTGAGGTTGCGCGTCGGTACCATTGCCTCTACACACCACGTGAATTGCGTCAGGTCGTAAGTGGACGAACGCATCCACCCTACCGCAGCATGTTGATCGAAATGCCGAGTAGTCGCTGCATGATAGGTGTCGGAGTGCGCCGGGGTTCGCGCGTCGCTCACTGGCAGCCCCGAGAATGCCCCGACGAAGCGTGCGATGGTTATTTTTGGATCGACCATTGCCGTTGACATGGAGCGAAATCTATTTTTGTGAAACCCCCACGCCGGTTAAACCTCTATCAATCGATATCTCATTCCACTGCTCTCCCACACTTCATGCATTCCGGCCCGGAACGACGACGCAACCAAAGAGTGCCGGCACGCCTCGTGACCTGCGATCCCTCTAGCGCTCTTCATGACGGTACACTTCACGTTTTTGCATGCAACAAGGTTTGCATTGCAGGGTGTTGGGGATTCGAACAAGAACGACGACCGGGTGGGTGGTTTCAACATTCCTCGAACATCGCGTTCCACTTTGTTTGCAATGGCTCTTATCCCTGCAGAAAGGTAGCGATGGACCGACCCCTCGAGGACATGGCGACGGCGTGTTGGACTGCGAGTAGGGTGTACAAACCTCGGAGGGAGCTGCTGGCTCGTGCGCTAGATGCATGCGCTTCAACTTGCACGTGTTGTGAATGTGGTGAATATCCGGATGAAAACTCCCACCACACCCAAGAATCCGGATACCGAACGTTGGATCGTCGATCCATTCTTCAACGCATTTGGAACACCAAGCAAGATGGAGGCTCGCAGGAAGCAACATCAGCTGCGGCTCACCGAGATCAACGACTGGGTCGGGAAACTCGAGGAGCGCGACACCGAGCAGCATGCGTTTGTCCAGCTGATGTACGTCACGCCTCCCTATTCATGTTGCGATGCCCATGACGCTGTAGACAAATCATGCCGAAACTCACGTCGGCCCAAGCGTACGAGATGTACTCGCGGCTGGAGCGGAACAAAGATCCACCTCGAGCATCCACACGAGAAGATATTGTTCTGCTCATGGCAGCTCTGTGCAAGGAACATCCCGTCGCGTCTGCGCGCTTTCTCAAGAGGATGGTGACGTACTTGAACTACCGTCTACGGGACAAGCGCCACAAAGTCACCGACGCTTGCACGAAAGCAACTGCTGCAATCTCACTTTACGTGCTTCCGTCGCTTCCACAGATCATCAGCATCGATGTCCTCGTCCGCCCATTTCTCAAGGAAACAAACATCATGAGCGACGGCGCAGCCAAGTGCATTGGCGCCATGCTCCATCCTCCAACAACAACTTCGCTTCTGGACCACGCCACACGAATATACCCCTATCTCATTACGTTCGTGCCGCACCTTGTGTCTCGGTTTCATAGCTCCGTGTATGCCACATACTCTCCGATCTTTTACATTCTGATCGAGATTCTTCGCCTCGCCAAGGTACTCCCAATCTCGTTTGCACGGTCCATTTACAGTTTTCACTCGACAGGACACGCACAAGGATATGCAAACTCTGTGCGCCGCGGCATTCCTCGACATGTTACTTGCCGTGGAAGGCGTAATGCAGTTCGGCCAGCGCGAAGATTGGGTGAATCGCAAGCGCGCCATCGACCTTCTCATCGCATGCGTCGAATGCTTCCCCGATGACCCCCAGATATCTCGGCAACTGGTACCGTCTCTCTCTTCCACGATCCCCATGACCTCATCGAACATGGCGGCAGACGGCACTGCAAGGACTTGCCGAGCGCGGACGCGGGGACTTTGTAAGTTATTTCTTCATCTATTATTTATTCTTTTTCATCCCGTGCATTCTTCATCTATTCGATTTTTCTGAACACACCCACTTCTTCTCACTTTTTGGACGCCATAGGCCTCTCCTGTCCGCGACAGCTCAGCCGCATTCTTGGTCCTTCTCGAGCCCTATGAAGAGTCCGCGCATGTCGCTACCCCAGATATGTCTACGTCTGAAGCGTATGCTGCTGCGCACCCGCGTCCAGCAGTCGTGTCACCTCCGAACGTATCTGTAAGCCCGAAGCGGAAAAAGGTCGCCGTGGTGCATGCATCACTCAAACAGGCGCTTCGGGATGACAGGGTGTCCGTGCGCAGTCCCAGACCCGTGTATGCTGCGGTGCAGGAGACGAACCAAGATGAACTGTTAAGCGTCACCAGCGCCGATTTCGCTGAAAATGTCAAAGTCGCCATGGAAGAAGGCAACATGGAGCTTGCATTGCGGATTGCTCTCCTCTCCGAGGACAAGACGTTGCTGCGCCGATGGCTGTGTTTCTCGCAGCCATCTGTGCAGTACTTCCGCAAGACGACGCTTAACGCTCTATGCGCGACGTTCCTCGATTTCCTCGAGAATGCCGACGACGCAGCGCTGATCTTCCCGTGGATTTCGTGCTTGCTTCGTGACGAATCCCATCTGCAGCACGTGGACCCGCGCATCTCAAGGCACATGGAGGCTCTTTTGGCAGAGCTTTCGGTGATGCCAACGAAGGATGGCCTCATTGCGGCGCGCCTGCACCACGAGCTGGCGTCATGTCTCGAGGGGGATGGCCGATGACCCCTGCGGAACCGAGCAGTTTGGACGTGGTGACAAATGAATTTAGCCAATAAAAATAGGGTATTGTAGATTACATCAATCGGATTGGTTCATGTGACTTGCGTCTTACTGATTGGCTAAAACTCCATTCCACTAAGTGGGATAGCAAATTTCATCATGTCGACCAAAAACGCCAAGCGGCAATGGGACCAAACCATGGCGTCCAGCGGCGTTGTAGCTCCTGGCAGCGGCCACGTCCCGAGGAAGCGCTTCTCTGGTATGCTCCGATATATGTCATACCATTCTCATGTATATACATACGCAGGACGAACGATGAAGATCTCCAAAACGATGAAACACGTGGACGAAGAAACTCGTCGGCAAGTGCGGAACGCTCGCCTGGACGCATTAGAAGCCGACAATTACATGGAAAACACCGATGATGGAGACGAAGATATGTTCGTGTTGGACGAGGACGATGATGCTGTGGCCAAGAAGGCTTCCAAGCCCAAGAGCAAAGCGAAAGCGAAGGGAACCCTCCACGTGCCTCAAGCGCAGGGCCGGCATCGTGTGGTGCGCAAGATCAAGAGTTTGAGGCACTTGATATTTGAAGAAGTAAGTCCGATGTGCTATTTCCGCTGTAGCTCTTGCGCGCTCGTAGTGCGGGGATGTCGCACCCGGGAATGACTCAGTGATCAACTACGTGACGGCGGCGGTAAAGCCCCCAAAGACGCCCCCGCGGCATTTTTGCTGTGTGTGTGGCCTGCTTTCAGTCTATTCATGTGGTCGCTGTGGCTCCAAATTTTGCTGTGTCCGCTGCGGCAACCAGCACAAAGAGACGGGATGCCTCAAGTTCAATATGTGAGCTGTCGTTGTTACTTTTGCAGCGTGTAGTGGAGGCCCGCGATGCCACGGTCGGCCGTCTTCTTCACGCTTTCGGCATCGTCATCACATTCGAGGACGTGATGCGGGTCTGGACATTCCAAGTCTTCTTGGTCCTCAAAGTACTCATGGCGTCGCGTGATCTTGAACTCGTCGACGTGAATCGCGTGGACGGTCGCTGCAAAGTCTGCCAGACTCAACATCGGTGACTGCGCCAACGCGTACCGCACCAGCTTCTTGGTCGCGTTGAGGACATCTACTCGAGGAGAACGTTAGATCGCTCGACTAGATGGAATCGGACCGCCAAACTCCATGTACGTGGCATGACTGCGGTGCCAGATTTGGTCCATCTTGACCAACACTACAAGACACAGCCACTCGTCACACGCGTGCATGCATCGCTGACCATCACACCGAGGTAATAGATCTCGAAGAACGCGTTCGGTTCTGTGAACAACGGCCAGTACGGCGCTTCCGTCGAGATGAACGAGCCGTCGCCGAGCTACTTTGCCACACAGGACGAATATGCAAAAAAATGTTCATCTCAAATTGGTGGAGCGTCGTACCTTGAACAGACCAGCCAAAAGGCATGTCAAGTTGATGCCAGCCACACAAACGGGATACCATCGCTTCCCCGGCTCTGGCTTTTGATCCCGAAAAAGAAAAACCATCTTGTCAGCGTGCATGTGGCATACATACACAAGACACTTGAGGGCCAAGAGCCCGCCGCCGCGAAAGTCCGTGTCGGGGTTGATGCGTTGGAATCCAATCGTCATCCACACCTCTCCTTCGCGCTCAAACGACGTTGCTTTCGTCACGTCCACCAGCGCCGTCCACAAGTGGTGCAGCAGACTCTCGTACACTTCGTCTCCTGGTTCACACTAGACATCACATGAGGATTTAAACATCACCAACGACAACACACGCACGGGGGTTTTCAAGTCGGTACGTAGGACAGAGAGCTCCAAGCACACGTCGGACGACGGCACAGCATGCCGCGACGACATGGAGACGTGTTTGTCGGATCGAGGGGACAGTTTCTCTGAAAGTTGTTGGAGTTGCTTGGACGCAGACGCTTGCACTTTGTGCAAAGCCGCCGATGCCGAATGCAGAAGCTCTTCGTTCTTGACATTCGTTGCTTTGAACACCCGCATGATCTTCGCTTTTGCTGCCGACGCTGCGTGTCGAAATGCCTCCGCGTCGGGGAGAACGGTGTCGCTAGTGCCGTCTTCGAAATCGAGGATGCAAAACTCGCATATTTCACAGGTTGCCAACGCTGCGTGGTTAAGAAACGTACACATCGGGCACTCCCACGAATCCGAAGACGATGTAGCTGTGATTTGCATATCCATCGGTTGTGCTACTTCAGTGGATGAACCTTCTGTGCGTAAGGTTGCTAGCACCTCCTCTTGGACCTCGGCGGGCAATTCTGCCAAAACCGACAGGTCCACCTCGGCCAGGGTGGACGGAGATGTGGCAGGGGTCACGTCTGGTTCTGCGTTTACATCGATGCGCAATGGTGGAGGTGGCGGAGGTGCTGGCACCGTATCCTCGGCGTCCATTGTCGCAACGTCGCTTTGATCTTCCACACAACTCGGTGTCGGTTAATCGAAAATGAGCCTTCCGTGCAGCGATTGGCCAATTTCGTAGCATTCGAATAATCTTGGCTACAGTATACCATACATTTCAGCAGACATTCGGTTGCATTTTCAAGGAGTTGTAGCTGGTGTCATGGAGATGACATCGGAGCAGCGGCCCATCTTGACGTCCATCTTGACATCGTCCGCCACCTCGTCGCGAAACAGCACCCCAAGGAGCACCACTTCGTCCACGAGCATCACGATCCCACCCCTGAAGCGCCGCGTGTCGTTCACAAACCGTACGGGATCTTGTGGCAAGGTATCCGTCGATTTCGTGACAGTCCATGCATAGATGGCGACCCTGAGCAGCCAATTCCGGACAAGCTCGAAGATCTTCTCGAAGCGGACTCGAATCGGGCGTCTACCGGACGGTCCTTCATTCCCGATCAAGCGACAACGACGGCAATTGTGACAAAAACCACCGGTGACTCGGTCGTGGGATCGTTCTCGACCTCACTGTCGTATTCGTGCAATAGATTTGCACGACGCATGCCGCCGCCTGGACGTTAACTATGCAGCAATGTGCCTCTTGCACGTGTCTCCGGATTCCGTCAACTATCGGTGCGAGGATGGTGGGTTTTCCGCTCTATGTCTACTTGCGATGGCCCCCGACACGCATTTCAACGTCAGTCTCCAGTTGGCCCAGGTATGTACCCCAAGTGTTTCTGCCGTCACCACCCTCGGCTTTCGTAGATGGTTACCCAACACGGTGCCAACGCAACCGTACCAGACCCTCAAGGGTTCACTCCACTGCACTGGTGTGCTGCCGTCGGCAACGTCGTGATGCTCGAGCACCTCATCACAACATTTCCATCTTCCATCGACCTTCCCGGCGGCAATGGAGACACAGCATTGCACCGTGCCTCTCGCTTTGGTCACGTCGATTGCATTCGGTAGGTACCCTTTCATCATCTAGTGCAGCATCTTGACTTGCCAACCTTCTAGACTGCTGCTCCACCACGGGGCGTCTACAACATCGTGCACACCAGACTTGCAGACACCGTTAGACGTCGCTGGCTTTGCCAATGGATCGACCGTACGGCATCAGCTCTCTCTCACTCTTGTCACGATGCGCGTGCAGGTGTACGAAGCATCGAGAGCGGCTGCGCTATCTTGTTTCGTGGGAACGCGGCCATGGCTCAAGACACTTGTGCTGCACCATCCCGACTGCCAAGAGCACAAAGCAGTCGAGTCGCACCAGGAATCGCCACTTCGAATCCACGCCATCCTCGACCCCATCCGTGCTAACCAAGGTACCTCTGCCCCCAACGATCTCGTTCTCATTCGCCAAACCAGACAAGAAGTGGATGCACGACCTAATCGACATCTCGTCCGATTTTGCCTTTGCCTCCATGGCCATCGTGCGCCGCGTGCACAGCGCCAAGTACGTCGACACCCTCAAGTCGCTGCATTACCAGGTACGTACTGTGTTGTAAGTACCTAATCCGTACTTTTTTGAGGTACTCGATGGTAAAAAGTACTTGATGACTGTCCCTAGGTGCAATCGCACTGTGTCGGGTTCATGGCGCTCACGCCGCGCCTTCAAGTGCATGTCCAAGGAACGGCCGCCGACCAGGCCAAGCTCGAGGCCATCTGCGACACGAGCTTCAGTCGGGGAACGCTCAAAGCCGCGCTGAGGGCTGCTGGCAGTGTCTGCCATGCAGTTCAGTCTGTCATGAAGGGCGAACACCGCAACGCGTTCTGCATCGTACGACCACCGGGCCACCATGCTGGTAGGGACCTCTCCATCAAAGATGTAGCGCTCATGCGCCGCATGCAGGTTGGAGCGGGCTGCTGAAGGACTCGATCTCGTGCGGGTTTTGCATATTGAACAATGTGATGATTGGTGCCCAGTACGCATTGGACTCGTTTCCGCATGTGAAGAAGGTCGCGATTGTCGACTTTGATGCCCATCACGGCAACGGTACCCAGGACATCCTGACGCAGCAGCCGCGACCGAACGTCCTCTTTGTGTCGCTTCACCTCTTCGCGGAAGGTTTCTACCCTGGTAGCGGCGGCGGCCATGACTACGCCCGCAACATTTACAACGTTCCCATCAACCCGATGTGGTCCCATGGCAAAGACAAAGGGAGTTCGGCTTTCCGACACAAGATCACTCACGTCGTGCTCCCATTGTTGCGTGCGTTCGGCCCCGACCTCATCCTTGTCTCTGCTGGCTTTGATGGGTGCCACCACGACATCGGCAACAAACAGTATGGCCAGAGAGATGGACCAGTGGGGTTGGACCTGACCCCTGGGGACTTTCACTGGGTCACGACTCAGCTCATGTACATGGCCAATCTTTGCTGCAATGGACGCCTTGTCTCTGTGCTCGAAGGAGGGTACGGTCGCGTGCGGATGGAATATGAAGAAGACAAAGGAAGTCCTGTCAGCGACCCACTGGCGCACGATCGGTCGTCCCCAGACAAGGATGCCAACAACACAGCCCCCCTCGTCCTTGACACCCTGCAAGCATCTGCACACGCCCACCTCCAAGCCCTTACCTGTCAATCGTACTTCGAGCCACCGCCGGTCAAAACGAGGACTTCGACACGGACACCCGTGCCGACGTTCAAGGTCCCGCGAGGCGCCAAGCGAAAAAAGCTCTAATATCCGGATAATTGTTCCACTCGGGTTACGAACCGTAAACATCCGGATAATTGTTTGAAACGGTCGTTTACTATTGTCAGTTTCGCATGAACGACAAGGAGAAGCAGAGCAAGGCCGAAGCAGCGCAACGAGCGCGCCAAGTTCGCATCGTGGACGCGCATAAGGCCGCGAAGGCTAAGTCTGGGTCGTCGGGCGGCATCATCCGCTTCAAGACAACGTTTCGGAACACGATCTTTGATGCGATGCTGCGGCGTGGGTGGAAGGAAAGGTACAACTCAACATGGCGTCTCTATCGTGCAATGCCGACGAACCGTCACTGGCATGACGATAGCGACACGGAATGGGACTTCTACTGGGCTGACCGCGAATTCATCTACGACGTCCTGGACAGCGTGCATCTGGATGTGACACAAAAGGTCAACCACTTTCGCAACGGTCGTGAGCTGTGCCGCAAGGATCTCCTCATCAAGAACCTTAAGCGCGCGCGGCGCGCTCAGAAAAAGTTACACCTTCTCGTTCATGAGCATCCAGTTCACAATCCCCCACAGGAACGAAGAGTACCCCTACGACTTCTTCCCGATCACGTACATCCTGCCTGGGGAGTACTCTATGTTTGTCGAGGTGGTCGACGATCTTCTTCGCAGCGGCATGTTGTTGATCGGGATCTCGTAGGAATTCAAACGGAACCAAGGAATTTGGATCATGAAGCCGATTGGAAAGTACGTCGCCGCCACGTCGGCGTTCTCTGACGGCGTCCTCGTAGAGCGCAAGGCAAAGGCATCTTCCTCTTCACCAAGCTGAGCCAGATCAGCGACTGGCGCACCGACTATCGGTACAAGCCCGAGAACCAGCAAGTTGAAACGTATGTCGTGCAAAAGTACATTTCGAATCCGTACCTCGTGGGGGGTAAAAAGGTGGGATGCACTTGTCCGCGGCACGACCGTCGACCACCGTGCCTAGTTTGACCTGCGCCTGTACGCCCTCGTCCCGTCGTTCGCGCCGCTAGAGATCTACATCTACCGGAGTGGGTTCGCCCGCTTTACCAATTCGCGTTACTCGAACAACGCGAGCGACATCGAGAACTCGTTTATTCACCTGACCAACGTCGCGATTCAAAAAACGTCCGAGCATTACGACAAAAAGCACGGCGGCAAGTGGGACCTGAAGAGCCTCAAGCTGTACATGATGTCCAAGCACGGGTGCGACCGCATCGATCGACTCTTTTACGAGATCCAAATGGTCATCATTCGGTCGCTTCAGAGGTACGAGCGGGGCTCGCATGCGATTCCATCCAACGCACGTCGCCATGAAGCGTGGAAAAGATTATCATCAGCGACAAGCATTGCTTTGAACTGTACGGGTACGACATCATGATCGACGAGAATCTCAAGCCATGGCTCCTTGAAGTGAACGCGTCGCCGTCGGTGGGTCCGTCGACGGAGCGCCATCGCATCACACACTTGCGTAGTTGTCGGCCAATACGCCCCAGGACTACCAGCTCAAGTGCGGCATGCTCAACGATATGCTCGACATTATCGATCTCGAAAACAAGTGCTGGGACAACGCTTCATGTGTGAAAGCACTGATATACGTGGTGGTAGACTCAAGACAAAGGAAGACCGCGTCGGCGGGTTTGACCTCGTCTACCGCGACGGCCTGATCGAGAAGGACGAGCGATGCACGTACACGTCGCTTCTCGGCGCCGATTTCAAGCGCAACAAACTGCGCAAGCTTCCCGTACCGGGTTTGTAATCGTCGCTTACTCAATCTTGTATTCGTTGCACAGCTTGTCGTAGTACTCGATCACGTCGTATGTGTACTTTCGCTTGAGTTTGTACGGCACTGGCATGAACGACCGCTTGAATCCCGTCAGGATCACGCGGCGGAGCTCGGTCGGCTTGAGATCGAGCGCGTCGACGGCAAGACGGACTTCTCGAAACATGTCGGTCTTGCTCACGGTGCAGTTGTCCGTGCAGAGCGACACAGCGAGTTTGCCGTCGAGCATGTTGGTCAGCGGGTGGCGAGATGCGTCGTTCTCGATGTCTGGGACGGTTTGGAGGTTCGACGACACACACACTTCGAGGCATGTGCGGCGATCGGCCACGTACTGCGCGAGGCCATCTACGTACGCTTGCTTTTGTTCGGGCTTCATGTCCTTGCGGATTTCGTTCGCGTGGAAAAGGTGGTAGCCGTGGCCAATGCGCTCAGCGTGGAGGTCCGTGATAGCCGAGAAGATGCTCTCGGGACCGTACCCTTCCCCGGCGTGCACGGTCTTGTGCATGAATTTCTTGTGGGCGAATGCAAACGCTTCGACATGGTCGGACGCAGGGAACCCGTTCTCGGCGCCAGCAATGTCCAACGCGACGATGGGCAGGTTGAATGCTTCCTTTGCCGCATGCGCTTGTGTGATGAGCGCCATGGACGCCAAACCGTACAGACGATGGGGATCTTCGTAGCGATGTACGTGGCAAAATTGCTCGTAGTACGGACCAAAGTTGGGCATGAAGAAGCGCATGGCACACACAATGATGCCGTATCCGTGGGAAGGGGCAGCACCGCTCTGAACATCAATCGCAGCATTAGCTTCATCGGTCGCGCGCTTGAGACCATTGTTCACATGGACTAGGATCTCCTCGATCGACAGTTTCCCAGGAATGGCGAGGAGTTGTGGTGCGAACCGCGTTTCGAAATATCGGACGCCGACTGCATACTGGTCGACGGCCTGTTCGTACGCGACACGCTCGAGAGCAGCAGGGTTGCGCAGGACGGCGCATGTGTACGCAAAGCATTGCAAGTACTCTTCCAAGTTGTCGTAGGTTTCCTTGAACACGCACGTCGAGAGGTGGGGCACGTCATACGTGGGGAGTTCAACCCCTTGTTCCTTGGCGAGTTCGACCAACGTAGCGGGACGGACGCACCCGTCCAAGTGGCAATGCAGATCTGTCTTGGGGATCTTGCGGAGGAATTCGTCGGGGTAGCGCGAGTTGGGCGGGAACGACCGCTTAACAGGATGCATGATGGCAAATGGGAACGTGAGCGAACATGGCGCCGCGCAAGTTGAAATGCCCTAAATTAAAGCAGACTCACCAGTCCCGTATGGTTCAATAGGGATTTATAATATCTATTTAGGGTTTTACCCATGTCCGACGTCCCTCACCTGGTTCGACACCCTGCCGCTGCTGCGTTCAAACTTCCATCAAGCGTCTGGTGGTGGTGCGTTTGCACCCTTACCTTCCCGTCGCACGAGGCCGACTCGACTGGCGGCTACGTCGACGCGCGTCGCCCAGCGAGCCCCATTACCACAGATATCTTCAACTTGAACTCTGGAGTGTGTTTACATGATGGATATTCTTGGTGCTTGCGAGATCACACTAATTCAAGATGGGAGCCAATTTAATTCCTTTCGTTCGAATTTGAAGTTGCTTTTAATGAAGATACCATTCCAGTTGTATGCATGTTTGTATTGCATTGGCCAAATTGAGAATTTCAACATGGTCAAAACGTTGGAATACATGTATTACACTAATTGTTGTATGTCCTAATTAGACGAGATTGGGCCGAAATGTTCTATTCGAGGCCAGGAGGCGGTCGCGTCCTAATCAGGCGAAATCGCTGCCTCTTGACGACACGTAACGCAGACAGTGCCATGACGCTGCCAGACCTTCGCGCGGCGGCCGTCGCGGCGCTCGCGTGCATCGAAGCTGTCTCGGGCGAACGCATGGAGCTCCATAGAACGCTCCACTACGGCCAGATCAAGCGAGACCTTGCCTCGAACACAAGGCTTCGCCGTCTCAAGAACGGCAACTTTGAGCCTGTCCCGCTCAACCTTGGTCTCGGGTACGAGATGCATGTTCGTGCTGGAGGCTTAGACGTGCGACGTGTGCAGAACGCACTACACATGGATCTATGCCGGCTCACCTCCGCAGCGTGCGTCCGTGATCGTGGACACGGGCAGTCATCTCATGGCGTTTCCGTGCAATGGGTAAGTGAATGCTCTATCATGACTCGTTCCATCGTCATGCGTTGACTAGATGCGACGGATGCGGCAAACACACGGACGCGCCATTTGACACGACCAAATCATCGACGCTCAAGTACCCTTCGTGTGCGAGTCGACCGGGCGCGTTCTCGTGTAGCGGATGCACGCAAGACGACCAGTGCCATATCTCCCAAGTACGATCGATCGATCATCCTGCTTGAATTAGATGCTCAAGTGCTGTAGTCGTACACAGAAGGGAGTAGTTGGAACGCTGTCGTCGTGGAGGACATGGTCTGGCTCGGAGACGCCACAGACCATCCCGAGCGGCACTTCAACGATTCCTTTGGCACACGGTACATGTTTGGCTGCCAGAAGCACGAGACAGGTGAGTGGGCGTTCTCCACTCCGATCGATCTTGCCTTCCGCTGGTATCATCTTCGCTCCAGGTCTGTTCATCGCGCAGGTCGCCGACGGCATCATGGGGGTCGCCAACACAGGTAGTTCTTTGCGAATGTCGCGTGGAATTTCACGATTTTTGGCAAATTGGCATGAAATTTGGGATTTTTTTCATGGTTTTTCATCGGTAGAAAGCAACTTGATCCGCAAACTCCACACCGAGCACAAGCTTGCCACGAGTGCGTTCGCGCTATGCTTTGCCCCGCAGGGCGGCACGATGGCGATCGGGACTCTCTCGACGGCCCACCACGAAGGCGACATCCAGTACGCAGCTGTCACATCTTCGCGCAACGGGTACCGAACGTTGGTTTGCGACGAGTGTGGCGACTCACCACGTGTAGCTGGTACGGGGTCACGGTCGTGGGCCTCAAGTTTGGCGGGAAGGACCTCAAGATCGACCCGTCGTTCATGGGCGCGGGCCGAAACGTGATTATCGACAGCGGCACGACCGACTCGTACTTTCCGTCGGCATACGCTGGGACGTGGAACGACCTGTTCCTAGCGACAACAGGCAAGCAGTATCTCGTCGAGGGCGGCGGCTGCGACGAAAACATGTACCCGGACGATGTGGTCCAGGCCATGCCGCCTTTCGAGATCCACATGCAAGGTGCACCTGGTCTTCTCGAACCGATCCCCCACGACGCATGTACGCAGGTGCTGACCCAGGCCAGTCGGTCGTGCTGTCAATCCCAGCGACACAGCTCTTCCCTGCCGACTCGGACGGGAATCGATGTGGCTCGATGCACTTTACAGAAACGAGCGGTGGCGGCGGTACGTCCAACGCAGCATCCCTGCCTTGCATTGACATAGTATGTAGTGATCGGCGCCAACTTTATGATGCACCACGAGTTTGTTTTTGATCCCGACGCAAAACGCGTGGGATTCTCCAAGGCGGCATGCGGTGCGGTTTGTCCGACGTCCATTGATATCGAGACCTGACGAAAGTGGCAACGTGCTCTAGAGTACCGAGGTCTGGACGCGGAATTGACCGAATCGACGTCGCCGCCGGACGTGGTCGTTCCTTTGGAGTCGCCCCCCAGCATCACGCTGCCTACGAACTCGACGCGTGTCGCCGCTGCCCCGACTATCCCAAATGCAGCGACACCCCCGACGACCGACCGCACCCTGTCGACAACAACTCTTGAACCGACCACCACGATATCGTCGCTTCCAACGTCCCCCGCATTCCATGGCAACTCGATGGCATCCACGGCGCCAAACACAACGGACACGCCGTCGTCGTTCCGAGCCAAAGGGGACCCGGCCCCAGTGTACAGCGACTTTTCCTTCTTCACGACCGCAGTCTTTATCGGGTTGGCGCTTGTCGTTGTCGCGAGCGCGTACCATTTCCGGTACAAGCGGCGGAACGGGCCGACGGCTACGCGCAAAAAAGTCCAATGGACCCACGTGCCGACGGTCCAGTCCGACCCCGAGGAGCGCGTCCCCCTTGGCGAAGAGCCGCTCAGCATCCGCGGCGATGAAGAAGACGAGAGTGACGACGAGTTTTTCGACTCGGAAGGGTACGTCATGTCCCCGCGATCGATCAAGCGGTGCCGCGAAGCGTTCGACATGGAAGCGTCGTAACGCTAACACGATGCATTGGACGGCGGCGACCACCCGTCGTCGTCATCTTCGTCCATCCCGCTGATGAGTGAGTCCAGGAACAAGTCATTCCCGAGCACGAGCTTGTTCGTGGTCGTGCTGACGGGCGAGAATCCGGCAGGTATTGGGGCCAGCGCCTGGGTTCGAGGCGCTGTTGTTGCGGCGGCGGCGGCGGAAATCCAAAAACTCGACATGGCAGAAGAAGGTAGAGAAGGGATGTGGTACGTGGGTGGGTGTGGCGGGATGACCGCAGCCTGGTACGGATGGGCAAACGGAACGGGCGTCGACGGAGATGAATACGAAGCCGTGAAGGCGAGCGTCAAGGGCGACGATGGCCGACGCGCCAGGAACGACGACGGCAACGTAGATATGGACTGGGCGTCGTGCTTTGGAAGCGGGAGGAGCGTCGATGCTGCGGGAGGCGATGTCTGCGGTTTGAAGGAGGAGAGAGCTGCGGGATCTTCCAGCACGAGATACGGCCTTTTGCGTAAGCAACGAGCTGTGGGAGGCTCGGGATTTGACGGGAGAGTTGCTTGCGTTGTTTGACGCTGAGCCAGCAACTTGGCTTGCAACTTTGTCCCAGTCCGAGTCGACTCGATAAAGAAGCTTTTTGACTTGAGTATATCCACGCATAGCGCATATCCCCTTGCGTCCTTGGGCGCCATGACGTATACCTATCCAAAAGTTAGGACCACGACATTGCTACGTAGCCACAGTACCTTCATCTGGTGCTGCACCGTGCTCTTGACAAAGCGAGAGCTGACCCAGCCGTAGTGCCATGAATTCCGCTTCGAGTTGATCTCGAACACAGCGCCGGCAGACGCGTCCACGTCAAGACGTCGGCCGCGCAGGAACTCGTCGAAGATGGCAACGTCGACGACACAACTCACGTCAGTCGCATTCGGGGCATCTTCCAAGTCAAACTTGGCGAACACCATCAGATCTGCTTGATCGACGGTCGTCGCGACTCGCAACGTGCTGCCACAGTACCCCGTTGCGTTGTGCGCAATGCAGCAGTGAGGAAAGCATCGCAGGTGCTTGTTGCCCGAGCTCTTGTTGTTTCTAATACACACGTGTCAGAAATGCGGACGTCGTTCGTGTACGAGCCGCTCTTGTGTACCTCTTGTACGAGCTGCTGAAAAGCGGTTCGGCGCACTCGGAATGCACAAACCGACTTTGGTCGGTGGCCGACGTCCACATGGCCGCCATCGTCCCGGTGACTAGCGCCGTCATTCCACCGTATCAATTTTAACAAGTTGAATCTCCATCTGCTCCTGGTTCGACCCCACACTGGTATTAAATCTCAAAGGTTCTGCAATTCCGCCCCAACGACACGGCGGAATGGGCGTCATTCGCACCCTTCCAATGCGTCCCGAGAGGAAGCGCCGCGTTCTGGCCATGCAACGGCACGTGCCCAGGGACGCCATTTGAGACCGCCAGTCGACCTCTAACGAGATGTCGTCGCAGTACAAACCATCGCAGACGTACAAGTGGTGCCTGGCATGGACAGGATGACTGTGGTTTCAGTCGACAAGCTCTTCCCCAACGAGTCCTTCCCAGCCAAGACTTGCCACGATCACCCCTCGTGCTATTGCGCTCCACGAAATGGGGGCGAGACGCACGCAGAGTGGCTGCCTGCTTTTTCAGAGACCACAGCCGTGCCTTCAGGTCCAGCATGCCGTGGTCATCTTCAACGACGACTAGACCGGCAACATCGTCTTTGCTGCATAGCAGTTTAGATTACTTGGCGAGCCATTCTACTCGCCTCGTGGAATCGCCGTGGTCTTTGGTGCGAGTGCCGTACCAATCCGACAAAACGACATTGCGAGGGGAAGATGGAAATATGACAAAATCAAGCTGTCGGAACGCTCGGCAGGGCCGACGACAGTCCAGCGTTCCCACGCATGACCAGGTCTCGATGGGAGTTGTACCCGTGGGGGCAAGTTCGCTCTTTGATCTGAACGATGGCGTGGTTGAGCTCCTTGATCAATGTGCACTCGGCCCACACTTTGTGCCGCTTCTTCTCGAGCAGCGCGTCCAGTTCGTTTGCGACTTGGTCGGACGTGAGGTCCGCAACCATTTCGGCCTTGTCCCACACCGTGTGCGCCGGCAGCGCAAGCAGCATCCCGTCGCAGTTCAAAATGTCCTTGGGCATCTTGTGTTTGGTAAAGTGGACTCCTTCTGCCGTTCGCTCGTTCACGCCATAGCTGTGGCAGAAGTGGAACGTCCACGGGACCTCGGTCGGGAAGACCGAGTCGATCGGATCCTTGCACGGGTTGGCCAGGTCTGCGTCAAGAAAGGACCAGAACTCGCCGACCGTCACCGGCCCTGTCACTCCCGCCATGGTCAAGATCGTGTGTTTGATCCCGTGGTTCGCCGCCGCCGCCCCGTACGCATACATCTCGACCATCCACGCGTCCTTGTACATCTTGCGGCCCTCGACAGTGAAGTTGCAGTAGTCGTCCACGAACGCGACCGCGTCGTGCTTTGTCAAAATGTATGGCGGCCCCGTTGGCGTGTAGTACCGCAGCGCCTCGGCCGCCGTGACGTTCATGCATGGCTGGTTCTGGCACAGCACCGACTTCTCCCTCATCTTGCGCTCGTCCTGAGCGAACCACCCAGAGCCCAAGTAGGCCCGCCAGTCCTGAGCGATCGCTACGCCGTCGCGCACGTCGTCCGTGATGGCGTCCGTGCGGTCTCCGATGTAATACTTGGACAAATTCCGGCCAAGATTGACCTGGAGTGGCTGCAAGAGCAAGAAGTCGCCGTCGAGGAGTGCGATCGGGCGGTTGTCCTTGACAGCGGCGCCACCGGTCGCGTGTTGGAGAAAATGCCGCAGCCCGAACGGTTTGTTGTACGGCGTGTAGCCGGGATCGTAGATGCCTTCGACGGGAGTTGGCTCGTAGCTCGGTGTGAAGTGGACGTGGAAATCGGGGTAAAACGTCGGCTGGGATCGCACGACGGCAGCGTCCGCGTCCGAACACCCTGAGATGATTTCCGTGATCGGGCCTTGGTGGCCGACGCGAACGGCAGAAAGCTGCAGCGCCGCCGAGTGGAGACGTCGGGACTCCTGCGCGCAGCTTGTGCTAAACACAATGTGCACCATCGTGTGTTCTGGAAACGGTGCAGCCGACAGGACCACGGCGGCCAAGGCGGCGACCGTCGTCGCGATGCGTCGCATGGCCCGACACAGACGGGCAATCAAAGTGGTTCCTGTCTGTCCAGGGCTGCACTTGAGGCCAGCGCATCTCGCCGGTGGCGTCTGGATGCAATTGCTTGGAATATGGGATCGCGTCATGCCATTGGGTCAAATCCCCTTCTTGAAACGTTCTTAGCAAAACAACGCACCACTCTTGTCCTGTAACGACTAAAAAGCTCCAAGTGAATTAATCTGACCATGAGTACCTTGTATTGACCGTAGAATACATGTTTGTATGCGATTCAAGTTGCACACCTCATCGTATTCTTGGCCCTAAGTAGCAACCATGAGGTGAGATATTCTTCAACTTGGTGGGCTGTTGTGTGGTCGGCAAACAAGTGATTCTTGACGTGCAGTTTTTGGCGCATTCCAATTGTGGTGTTGTTTTGAAGCGTAAAAAATGCAAAATCGACGAGGGGCACCCTTGGCCACGAGAGTTTGCAAGCGCCGCGAGCGCTCGCAGTACGGTGGCCTCCTTTCCACGGGGCGGCACATCTGTCAAATGCAGCCAGGAGGCACGGGAGCGGGCTGGCACAGCAAGAGTCCTTGCCCGGTGCACAGGCAACCATACAGCAAGGTCGACGCCCGCATCGTTGGCAATTCCAATGCGGCGAAAGATGCTTGTCGTCGTTGAGGCCAAGGGTTGCCTTTGCCACGAGATCCACCAATGGGTAGCATCAGCAGAAGATGAATGGGAGTCGCCATGGATGACATGGATGCGCGATAGTATGCGTAGTTGCTTTGGTACGAATGCTGCGGCCGTGGCGCGACGAGTGCTTGCTTGTGAGGTCCAGTGCGTGGGAATGGTTCTTGAGCTCTCGTGAGATCGCAGGCGGCTGTGTTGCACCGCCATCGACCGGCCCATTGGACTTGCTTGACGGACGGAACGTCCAACACAAACACATGGACACCGTCGACGACAGTGGCGTGCGGCGGCTTACGTTTGCCGCGCGTGAAGAGGTCCAGCCACGTGTGTCCACGTCCGAACAAAGTCCGTGGCCGACATAGCTGGCCGTCTTCAATAGGTCCTCTGCAGCCTCGTTTTCGAAGCGCCACGTCATCGCGAACACGACCTGTCCAGACGAGCCGGTGGAGACACAAATGTACTCACAACAGCATGGTGTAGCATATCGTGCCCGCGCCTGAAGGACTCTCGCGCAGCCCGCGCCTCGATCCCTCCGAGTTGTTTGCCAACTCCTTCCATGGACATTTCCACCAATCGAGATCCGGACGCCGTGTCCTCTCGGAGGGATTTCCATGGATATCGTGCAAATCATCGCGACGGGGGGCGATCGGATCCAGGCGGCGCTCTCGAGTCGACGACTTGGCACGTCGTGCGCGACCCCTCACGCCTGCTGCCATGCTCGGGTTTTGGTCTACGTGGAGCTGCTCTCGTCGTCAATGGGATGGAGGGAGGATCTGTTGAAAACAAATGAGGACGGCTAGACCGAGCACATTTCAACGGGCACGCGCAGCGAGGGAGGGCGACTGGAGCATCGGTCAAGCCGGGGGACGAGCGCTGCACGTCGGCGCAGGCGACGTCAGAACCACCTGGGTTGGTCGGATCGTCCGGATAACCGGCCCTCGCCCATGGATATCACGTGGTGCCAGAGGAAACCTGTACTCAGGCTGCACTCACCCTCTTCCTCCGTGGTCGGCACGATGGCGTCCTCTGGTGCGACTCCGCGGTACCCAGTATGGATAGCTGCCGCCATGCTGACAGTCGTGGGTCTCGGCTTCCTTGGTCTCAGCTACGAGAACGACTTTATCGTCCAGTCGAACACGATCTCGAACGCCAAGCTCACGCCGACAAACCACATCGTGTACGCCAACCGCACGGTTGATAAGGGTCTAGTGACGGAAGCGCTGGTGAACACAGGTGATCGCGGCAATGCGTACACGGCTGACCACTACGACAAGTCGACCGTGCATGTTGTCTACAGCACGAGCTGCGACCAGCCGAACCGGCAGTTCCTCAGCGCCGGGTTGCAGATCTCTGCGTCCAAGGTCGGCCATCGCGGGCCCATGACCGAGATCATCTCTGGATGTAGCGAGCAAGACATCGTGCGCCTTGCAGCGGAACCGACGTTTTATTACGATTATCACCGGCACTACTCGCCATCGTTCAACCTGCATCCAAAACCCGGCATCACCGACTCGTACTCGCCGTACAACAAGCCGTTTGCGCTCCGCCACCTCCTCCACACGGCGCCGTCGCTGTCCAACCCCGCCGCCGTCAAAGGCAACATGCCCGTGGCTCTCGTCGACGCCGACTTCATCTTCTTTCAACCGCTGCGGGTCAACACGGGCACGGACGTCGCTGCCTTCTACCACGGCGGGAAACGCCAGGGCCAGCCCATTCTCGACACGGTGGTAGATGGTCGCGCGCTGGCGCAGGACTGGACGCCGTTCTACGGCGGCGGGTGGTTCCAACCAGAGAACCGCGACAAGAAGGATGCGATCTGCGCGGGCAAGCCGTGCGAGAACATCACGTCGGAAGATGGTGCGGAGTACTATGCGGGTGGCGGACCACCGTACATTTTGACCAAGAACGACTGGCTGCGCATGATCGACGACTACGGCGACTTTGTCATTGCGGGGCGCACACTGTCCAAGCACTGGATGGTGGAAATGTATGCATACGGCCTCGCGGCGGGCAACCACCACATCCAGCACACGTTTGTGGCGCACTTGGCGCCGACCCTTCCCAAGGTCGAGTTGCATTCATGGTCATTTCTTGACGACGATATGGCCAACCCGTGCGACCCGACGCTGGACGTTGTGATGCCGCGCCATCCGCCCGTCGCCGTGCACTACTGCCAAAAGTACGGCTTCCTCGACAAGGAGGACGAGGGTTTTCACTTTTACAAGTACCATGTCCCGTACGACATTTTGAGCTGCGACGCGATGCTGCTCGAGCTGCCGCCACCGACGCAATGGACAAACATCGACACGCTCGGGTTGACGGGCCATGCCCTCGCAGTCAAGCGCCACGAAGTCTGGACCGAGTGCACGCTGGCGAAAATCCTCAACCAAGTCTTTCTCACGGCCAAGGAGAAGCTGTGCCCCCTCGGATTCAACACACACCAAGGACTCCCCATGAGCGAACCGCACAAACGCGACTCGGCGCTGCCAGGCGGCAAGCCCAAAGTCGTACCTTCGCCGCGGTGACGGGGTGTAATGATATTGTCCTCTCTTGCCGTTGGACTCGGCATGCATGCACACGCAACGAAATGGAAGCGAGAGAGAGGGGTGTGTGTGTGGTCTTGCTAGGATTCATCAACTTCGACAATCGAGTGCAGGTCTGGGGACCGGGACAGCTTTCGCTGCGGAGACGCGGGTGTTTGCAAATCGACGTCGTTGTCCTGGTCATGGCGTTAGCAGTGATGTCGTCGGTCCGATTGCGAGCACCACGTACGTCGTCCTTGATCGGGCTCACTTGATGCTGGACGGGAGTTGGCGCTGACTCGTCGACGGCCAATTCTGTCCACGATGACTTGCGCCGACACCGCCGCCAGAGCAGTCGCAGCACGAGGGCCGCCATGCCAACGATCGAGCACACAACGAGCACGGTCACGAGGGACCCGTACGAGTCCCAGAACGTCTTGTCCGTCCATTTCCCTCGCGACACGAGTGGTTGGCGATCGCCCGCGCCTACGACGACCGTCCAGCCCTTGCCTGGACCTGTCCATGGCGCGTACCTGGCACCGATCGATCGCATCGAGCGGGCGCAAACCCGACTCGTTTGTTCGCCATGTCGAATATCACGTCAAAGTTGGCCATCGCGGCCGCGCCCAGCACTACACGAAACTAAAGCACAGGTCGCCGCCGCTACGTACCGCCCCCACTGGACTGCGTAAAGTGCACATTGTTCGCCACCGTTCCGTCCGCGTTGGTCGTGTAGTACTGCGTCGGTGGGAGCGACAGCACGACCGATGACCCCTTGGTCATTCCCCGTAAAACAAATTGAATCGCCGGCAGCGTGCGCTGGTCCGCGGGATGGAGGAGCACTGCATCGTCTTCTCGGTAGGCGACGCCGTGGGCCATCTTCTTGTACAGCGCGGCAAATGCGGACCCGACACTCGATGGCATGTACGAGTCGGTGGACCCGCTATCGACGATGACGCCGCGGCCGCTGCGACGCAAGCTCGTCGGTGACAATCGTTGGCTTGCGCACGTACCTGTTGTACCACGACGGGGGCACGTTGAGCGAGACGTTGCCGATCAAGATGTCGAGGACTTCCACCGTGAACCAGCCACTACACGTGCCGGTCATGTGTGTGTGTTTTTGAAGCGCTGGACCGCACTACCTCGTCGTCAACAGCGGTGTAAACATGGGTGGCGCTAGGTGCAGCTTGGTGTCGACGCCGCCCAGCACCATCGTCCCGCCCGTGTCTGCGAAGCACAGCGAAAACATGTTGGCCTTTAGCACGCCGCTCTTGACCAGGTATGGCACGATCGTATTGGGGTCCTGGGCCATCCCCATGATCCCGTTCTCCTTCTGGGAGATGAACAGGCCAGTCTCGCGGGTTTGACACCCGATTGGGAATCGGACGCCGTACTTGGACAGCATCGTGGATACGTTCATGTCCGCGGCACCGTCGGCCGCAGGGAGCGACCCCACCCAGCACAGTTCGCTCACCATCAACGCACTCCACATGCTGCCTTCGGCATAGCTCTGGGACACACGGCACTGGTTGTTGGATTCACACGAATTGCACCGACTGTACTCGGCACACGTGAGGTAATTGGCGGTCGTGGACTTGGTCATGTCGTAAGGCGGGTCGGTATGGTCGCCGCAGTCGATGCATCTGCGTCAAAGGTCAATGCTGAACGAGAGGACACGAAGGACGCACGATGTGCATGGAAGCGCGGTCATGTGGCTTCCTGTGTCGATTATGACGGAAGCTTTCTGCGGTGGAAGCCCCAAGTACATTTCAGCGTAATGCGTCCTATCAACAACAGCAGGATTGGCGCGCCTCGTACCGAGTGCACCGAACGACGTGTACCCAATGCCGACACCCAAAGCCACCTCGTCGGATTCGATGGTCAGACCTCCGGTCAAGTTGGACTCGCTCTGCCACCGGCGCGTGGGATAATGCACATTCCTCTGCAGGTTGAGCCGAAGGACTCCGTCGTTAGAGACGGATGCGTCGCCGTCGGCTCTCATCGCCGTGGCGGCAACGTCGTTACACAACATCGAAAGCGTCGGCGTGCTTCCATGGAATAACGAAACGTATCTACTTTGAAGTTCATTTATAGGACACGAAAATCGCCTGAAATAACATAATAAATCTCGTTTCGAATTCTTTAATAAATAACACAGCGGAGTCCCGGCGACGTTCAAGCGGCACCGCCGCGATCCCGGGCGTCCGCGCCGAGGAAGCGCAGAAGAGCACGAGGACTCTCCAAGACGGAGATGTCGTCTGGGAACTCCCTCTCTCGGTTCGATTCGAGCAACGCGGTCCACTTGAGACACTCTGCCGCGATGCGATCCCGCGCGTCCCAGTTTTGTTGAACATGGTGGAATCGGGCAAGCACCATGCCGATCTCGACGCTCAGCTGGAGATCCTCTGCGAGAACAGCAGCGTCTTTGCTTCGTTCGAGGGTTTGCTTGCACTTGACGTCGCCCACGATGAAGTACGCCTTGGCCAATTCGAGCCCCACTTCTGCTTGCATCGCCCAACTCCCGTGCTCCATCACCTGCAACACATCCTTGACGACCTGATATTCGGACTCGAAGAATCACACGGGCGTACGTATGGACTGGCGTCTTCCAACAGCGCGATGGCATCTTGCGTCCGTTCCATGGCGACATACAACCGCGCGAGAAGTACCTTTGCTTGAGCGACGAGCGTTTGGCTCCCAACTTCTTCACATGTCGCGAGGCATTCCATGAGCGCCGGTAGCGCATTGAACGGCACGTCAGGATGCAGTGCCATCTAACGAACTCATGAGCGCTCTTTCGCTCCATCAGATAAACGAACGTGCGACTGCTGCAGCAACACGTTGGCGCGAGCAAATGGCGGCAGGGTGTGCTTAGGAATCGAGTCCAAGAGCGTCGATGCGTCCTCTTGTCGGCCTTGCCGCCGAAGCAGGCGAGCTACACCATGGCAGATTGGCGAGAATGCATGAGTGCCGCAAAATGCTTCCCACCTTTGGCCATGGTGAAGTCGATGGTGTCACAGGGCTTGCCCGTTCGTTGGCCCTGGACAAGACTTGCCCATACACCCACCAACGATTCTGCTCGGCGAAGCTCCATCCTAGCTACGGCCCAGGCCACGAGCATGTTCAAAAGCGACTGCTGCAGGATCGAGTCGCTCCAAATGGCATCGCTTGACTTGGCGATTGCATTGTCCATGTCGAGCGCCGACTGCGCCAACTTGCCCAGAGCTGGCGCGTACGCCGTGGACGCGCCCCATGGCGAGCCAGAGCGTGGAGAGATCGGTTGGGTTTCGATATCGATCTGCGCTTGGTGCGATAGCTGGATTCGATCGTGTCAGTCGCGGAAGAAGTGGTCATGATTCGTACCAACAGGGCGACGTCGCTCGAGGAACACGCCGAGCGGTGCGACGCAAGAGCGGCCGCCTTGGCCAGAGCTTGCCGCTGCATCGTGCGAAACCCGAGCTGCCGCCATGTTTGTGCTTGCGTGAGATGGATCACCACCTGGGTGTGCACCCACTCGTTCAGCCGCGCGTGCTTCGGTTCCATGAGCCATTGGGACATGCTTAGCCCGTCCGGAGGAGTCGGCATTGGAGGACACATGCTATTTGTTGCAGCAGAGCCTGCGGCTTGCAGCGCGAGCCACGTTTGCAGTGAAATGACGGTGGCCGGGGACGGCACAGGCAATGGGGATCCGTGTTGGATGGCGGAGAGCTGCGCCAAGAGCGAAACATGCGGTAGCGCGGCGGCGTCGGCCATCTCAATCGTTGTGAGGGCTCGTTGGGGGTCGAAGGGAGCGTCCCATTGCAAGAGGTAGCTCAACGCATAGGCCACGCAAACCTACCAACAAGTCACGATGAGGTGGCGAAGAGAAAACCTACTTTATCTCTGGCGCTCTGAGCCACTCGAATGGTCTCGTGTAGAGCCGCGATGGCTTTCGCGGGATGCCGAAATGTCCAGTAGAAGATGGCGAGGTTCAAGGACGCGTAGTGCGGCCCAAACCGCTTCATGTCGGGGATGTCCATCGCGACATGTATCGCGGTGTTGTGGTACTTGTGAAGCGCTTCCATGGCGCCGAGGAACTCTCGCTGCCGCTGGAAATTGACATATCGCGCGAAGAGAAGGCGAGTCGAAGAAGGGTTGGCTTGTAGGGCTTGATGAAGGAGGATGTCGTCCACGGGAAGGCCGTTGTCGATGGCGTCGAGCACAGAGGCAGTTGACGGTCTGAGGGCCGTCGTGGAAGGCGTGAAAGGCGTGACGAAGGCCTGCATCGCATCGCGAAAGCTGCATAGACCATCAAAGAACGCCGAGCGGATCGCGAGCGCGAGCATGCGCGAGAACCGACCGAAAGGAGATGACGCCACAAACACCTCGTCATTCCGCGGGAGACACAGCATTTCCAGACATTCGGACACGTCGTGGACAGATCGATTGCTGAGTCGACGCATGGCAACTTGGAATTCCATCGACCAACTCGGGTGGATTGCATCCAAGGTAGAACAGAACGTGGGAAACGGCATGGGACTACTCGTCGCAGTGGCAGTGACTTCCATGAGGAACACTGCCAACTCATGATGAGGATGGATCCCGTCATGGAGGTCCAAACTGCTTGCTTCGTACTCGCGGATGTAGATGGCAAGAAGGAACCCAATGCAGACATTGTGCGGGGAGAGCTCGAGCAGGAGGCGCGGCGGCGCTCTTTCTGGCGCTCCCATCTTGATTGAATAGCGCTGTTTTGAACACGTAGGAGACGACACGACAGAGTATCTGACCAAGGACAAAACCACGAATCGGACGTGTTCGGAACACCCATGCGACCAATTGAATTTTGAGAGACAATTCCATTTCGCATCACAGGAAGGGCGTGCCGATGGAGAGGTACGGGACGCAGCGGACGGCGCATATTTGGGTCCACTTTATCAAGAGAAGAGACCTGGATAAGTACTTTAACAATTGGAGGGTGGAGTGTCGCCACTGCCGCGATGCCTACGACGCGCGAACGTCCACACAGGAGATTGTGTCACTCCCCGAGATTTTGATCAGCACGACGCCCAAGATGATGTCGCACTTGCGCAGCTGCGTGTACGCTCGAAGAGTACTAGGAAATAACCTGCCATCGTCTCCAGTCAGGCTGGAAGTCCCGAAGCGGGGTGCTGCGTCGAAGGATCGTGAAGGGTCACCCTCTCGCGCCAAAAAGAGATGCCGCACCAAATCGGCACCACCACATCCACCTTCACTTCGCCCGACGCTGCTACACTCTACTGGTGCATTCGAACCCTTCCACTTGTCCTTTCTCTTGACGCGCAAATCGTCACACTAGATGTAGTAGACTTCAAGCACGAAGGAAACGACGACAAAGACTCGACTCCACCCACCACCATCACTTACAGCACGGCCTACATTTGGGAACACTACATTAAACGAACAGACTTGGCCAAGACTCACAACAACTGGTACGTTGATTGCAAGCATTGCCGCCGAGCCGCGGAAACCACGGTCCCTCTGTCGTCTCCGCCCCCCGTGTTTGCGTCGGTCATGACTCGCATGAAGGCACATCTGTTCAAATGCGCCCACATACCCCCCGAAGACCTCGCGACCTTTCAAAAGACAGACGCTGCGATGGCACCGTATCAACCCAAGCGCCGCCCCAAGAACGCTGTCGAGTCACCTCGTCAAGTCCATGTGATCGTGTTGCCCCCAAGCGCAGTTCCAGCCACATCCCGCCTCCAGTCGGACGACTCGAAGCACTTCCATCATGCCTTGCCGGCGGACAATCAACCAGACGACGTCGCGCCCACCATTGCGGTCACGTGGCTCACAGAGAAAGAGAGGGCGCTGTACGCTGCATCCACGGAAGGGTTCATCCACACGGCGGCCATTCTGGGTCGAGTCAACTTGGCACATTTCGCCCACTCCGGCCTGTACAGCGTTCCCAACACGTCCATGCAACAGGTACAAGGCTTGGTCGGGCATGATGTTTGGTTGGACTGGTTGAGCTCTATAGATCCAAGCCCTCGTGGAGCAACAAGTCGACATGCCGGATGAAGCCACGACGACGAAGTTGAAAAGCGATATTCCTGAAGAACCAGTGGGCTCATCACACTCTACCGCTCAGTCGCTTGCGTCGACCTCCAGCGCCGCGCACAACGACGGTGGACCTGCCACACTCGACACGGAGGGGCTTCTCGTTGAGGACAAACTGCTCCCACACTTTACCACGGTGTTCCGAAAAGACTCGGACGTTGCAGTGGGTCAAGTCGTGTGCACGTTGTGCCGAAAAGCCCACGAAAGCGCCCCCGACCTCGTGGCAGCCCCTCTGGCCATCCGAGCAACGCCCTGTAACCTTTCCCGGCACCTGGACTCGTGCGACCTGTTTCAACGAGCTTCAGCGCAAGAAATGCGTCCCGTTGCAGCGCTTGTCTACCGCGCCGTTCCGTGGCCACGTGTTCTGTGGAAGCATTTTATCCAACGAGTGGACCTCCCACGCTTTCTCTCGTACGTGCAAGTCGAGTGCCGGCATTGCCGCGCCTCGCAAACTCGACCAGGCAGGTCGTCGCCGACCGTCTTGATGTCGAGTCCGTGGCAGATGCGGCACCACGTGCGAACATGTCCAAGAATCTCGAATGATAAGGAAGAACGAGCCGATGGTGTGGTGATGTCGGCCGCGCTGCCATCAAGGAAAGCGATACCGCTGGAACATGGCGCGGAAACCCCAGACGACACGAGGGGTGGTGTTGTGGCGCTTCCAACGTCTGCCGATCCGGTGGTATACGCTGCAATGGAATACGCGGCCGTGCGATGGGACGGCGGGTTCCAGCTTGCGCAGTTGGGGTACTATGCCTTGACGCTAGCACGCCGGTCGTTCCTTTCAACTCCATGCTGTACCTAGCTACGACGTAACAGATCGCATGATGCGCGAAGACGAGCGTGACGGACACGGCAAAGTCGAAGTGACGTGGCTGCGTATGTTGACGATGATGGGCCATCGCCGTGACTTGTGACTGTGTAGACAAGGAGAGCGACGCGGTGGTGTACGCTTTCGGACACGACCAGGTCATTCCAGTCGACTGGATTGTGTGCAGCGTCGAACTCGTGCACTTCGACGCACCCCATCGGTTTACCCTGCCACCAGAGCAGCTGCAAAAGGTACCCACCGGTTGGTTCATGCCGACGCTTGAGCCACACCTAGGTGCACCACAACCTTCGTTCCACTGGAGCTGGGACCACGACGTGTACATAATGAACACTGTTCATACAGCCCATCTTCTTGTTACTCCTCGAGATCGGACGTCAGGTAATGGTCAAACCGCGACGAGTTGAGGCTCGAGTTGTAGCTGCTGTTGCCGGGGGATCGGCCTTGGTTGAAGTCATGCCAGGGAGTCTGCATGAGGTTCGACAGGGACGTGCACGAAGACGACGTTGCGACCGAGATCGCGGGAGTGTCGTCGTGGAGGGAAGTCGTATCGAAGAGCTCCGAGTGAGAGTGGAAACTCATGTCTTTGTCTGACGGCACGCTACTTCGGAGGATGGCGCGCGTGAACCGGTCGTCGTGGAGAATGGAGGTGGGGAGGCTGTGGTCGTTGTTGTAGACGGCTTCGAACCACGACGAGGGACGTCCGGCCGATGGAGGCACGAGGGAGGCAGTCGGCGCGACGTCGACGGGAGTGTCGAGCGCTATACCTTCTTTTGATCGCGAGCGCCGACGACGAACGTATATGACCCGGCCGACTGCAATGAAGACAACTGCCGCGGCGGCAACGATTCCAACGACTACAAGGACGTGGGTTGTGCCGCTGGTGCTGAAAGAGTCTGTCGGGGAAGAAGCAACCATTTCGATAGATGTGGACGCGACGCATTCCACCGTCATGGACGACGGTGTTGTCCAAACGAGCTGAAGGTGGACGGAATAGTTGCCTGGTCCAGGGATGGTCGCATTCTGCACTATAACACTCGCCGACGCGTCCGTGACGTAAAGCAATGGTGTGCATGTATCTTGGACGCAAGTGGCGTACTGAATCCCGATGGGTCTGGAGAGGGATGGACTCGGCACATACGTCCATGTGATGGTGGTGGTCGAGGAGTTGATTTGCCCAGGACACTCGACAGAGAACGCGACGAGCTCAGGTGCGATGACATTGAGCGTTGAGCTGTTGTTGTTGGAGCGGCAGAATGACCGCACTTTATCTCGCATGATGCTTGGCTCCTTCGGCACCTCCATCGTTATCCAGGCAATCGCCGCCTTGCCGTTCGTCTCGCCCATCGTCGTCGCCAATTGTGTATCTTGAAGAAACAGCTCTGATTGGGTGGAATTATCCGAAATACCCTTTGTTTATCCGGTAGTATTTACGAGAAATTCAAAATTTGGCGCCGACATGACTAGACGTCCATGCGATGCAAGACGGCCTTGTCGACGCCGTCCACGGCTTCCTCAAGCTGCGCATTGAAGAATTCATCGTCGACGTCAGGGGGAGTGTCGTAGGAAGCAACTGTGCCTTGTTCCACAGCGGCATCTTCAGCGCCTTTCTCAGTCACGAGCTCCACTTCTTCCTCTTCAAACTCGTCCAAGTTGACCTGAGTCCACCGCGGATCCTTCGACTTGCACACGGCAACAGCAATGCCCACAATAAATAGCAATCCGATCGCAACTCCACCCAAAGTCAAGACGAGAGGGTAGTCGTCTTCGCTCGCTTCATCGATCGACGCCTCGTCGTGCGATCCCTTCGTTTCCACGACGGCTTCATTAACGGCATCCGACGTGGGCATCTGCTCAAACTCTACACGCCATCCATCAAGACCCATGGTTGCACCCATCTCCACGCACCGCAGTTGGCTTTGGCAAATCCAACTCGATTCCGCTCCGCGTCAAATACGAACTCGTGATGCATCATGAGGCTGGCGCCGACAATGCCCCCACCTGCTTCGTCGAGGAGGATCGTCGAAAAGTATCGTCCTGCCTTCTTTTTCAGGTAACGGGTTGGCGGGATGGACATGACGACGTCATTCCCATCGACACCTGTATCCCACATCGTCATCAGCCTCGTTGAAGGTGTAAGCACGCCTCCCCTACCTGCCAGAACATACTCAATCGTCGGTAAGAGCTCGATTTCGTCCTTCGTGTATCCCTCTGTGCCTCCCGTGATGTACTCCTTCCCCACAACTGTTTTGAACACGCGGTTAAACTCATCGTTGAGGGCGGCTGGAAGGTACGAGTCGGTGGTGCCGCTGTCCACGATGACCTTTCGACCGCCGTTCAACAAGCGAGGCGAGTCGATATGGATGTCTTCGCCGTGGATGCGGATCCCGCGAACTTCCAGCGCATACCAGCCCGTCGAGTCGAACGAAACTTGAGCAAACGTCATGTTTTCTTGAAGGTGCGCGGTGTTGAGGTGACTGCCGACCGTCATCGCGCCACCCGTCGGGGTAAAGCAGAGCGAAAACACGTTCTGGTTGATCTTGTCTTCCAGAAACAATTTCTTGACCACGTTGGGCACTGCAAGAGCAACGTCATGAGCGTCGATCGTGCGGCCGCACCTACCTTTCGTCGACAGCCCCATGATCCCGTCGGCCACTTGCGTCGTAAAGAGACCTGTCTCGTGGTTTTGACACCCAAAGCGATACCTCGTACTAAATTTGTTGTCGACATCCGATACGGCACTGTCTCCCAGCCACACGTTGTCTTCCACCACGACGGCCTTCCAGCTGCTTCCTTCCGAGTACATTTGGCTCACGACACACGTGTTCGCGTCCGTGCATGACGCACATGTGATGGCTTTCTCCTGTCCAATTTCGTCGCAGGTAGGATACGTTAGCGTAGACGACTTGGCCGCATCAAATGGAGCGTCCGTGTGCTTGCCGCATCCTGTGCATCTACGTCGACATGCCAATCGGACGACTTGGATTGAAACACATACCCCTTGCATGGAAACGCAAGCTGATGACTGCCCGTGTCGACGATGACCGAAGCACGTTGTGGTGGTGTCCCCGCATATATCCACGTGTAATGCGTGCCCATGCCAAGGTTCAAAGGAACGACTTCATACCGACCGTCGTCAAGACGGCGGTGCCGCTCGTGGGTGTGAAGGTTTCTCTTGATGGAGATGTCGGTGTTGTTGCGATGGAGCTGGAGGGTTCGAGTAGTGCTTTGGACTCCATGAGATTGCAGGAGCAGCGCCGCCACGACGAGACTGGCCGCCAGCGTTGATGGAGCCATCTCGTGGGATGGCCAAGGCTTTCTGCAGAATCATCTCATCTTTGCCTTGACAGTGCTCCTACCCCATGTTGTACGGCATAATCGTACGTACAACACGAATTTTATTGTCGAATGAATGCATACAATCCAGTACATTGTACATTGTCGTACTTCAGTCGATGGACGATGCACCTAACGTGCAGCAGGGACGTCAGCGAACCCGCTTCCATGTCGCTCGAATGTGCTTCCACAGTGGATGGCGTTGATGTTTCGCTGGGTTCGACACCAGGGGCTGGCGGGACGCTCGTACTGCGCGATCAAGCTCCTTTCGCGCCTTTTGATGGCAGGACGCAAACAAAATGTCGACGACGTGCCCTGATTGACCAACTCACTGTCTGTTCGAGTGACTCGAATGGCGATACGATGCGATTGTATTGGCTATAATTGTTTTCTATACGGTGAACATTGGACAAGGTACCTTTCGAGTGACTGACATTCCAACCCTCACCACGTCGTCATGAACACAACATTGACTGTGAACGGTACAGTCACTGGACAGTAAAGTTTTCCAACCATGCGCGACGACATTGATTGCGAAGTGCAGCATCAAGGAAAAGGTCCCGGCCGCATCACAATATGCAGACACTGCGGCGGCAAGATGTCGTCTCAAGCAAAGGAGAGATGGAGAATGCACATGCGTCAGTGCTCATCGGCTCCTGACGCCGTTCGACGACTGTACCCGACCTTGAAGCGACGAAATGCTCGACCACCTTGTTCCATCGAAGACAACCCCGTAACAATCAAGAAGCAGGCAATCGCCCCTGCGGCACCACCACCACAGCCCTCAGCAACTTCACTACCACTTCCAGTACAGCCTACCCTTCTACGTCCAAGTACAGCTCCCGCTCAAATTCCCCCAACCTCCACAACACTGCACTCTGGACTGAGCCACCCCGCGATGCGGGCATGGACCGAGCCGACGCTCCATGGGTCGCAGCTCATCTACCCGCTCTTCATCACGGCTCGCCCGGACGACAACCCCATCCGCGGACTCGAACCCAACGTGCAGTGGGGCAACCGCAACAACTACGCGACCCTCGTCGCACACTTGGACGGCCTCGTCGCGAAGGGCCTGCGCAGCGTCATGCTGTTCGGGGTCGTGGACAACAAGGACGCCGAGGGATGCATGGCGGACGACCCGTCGACCCCCGTCATGGAGGTCATGAAGGTCCTGCGCACCGAGCTGCCGTCGCTCCTCGTCGCGTGCGACGTGTGCATGTGCGAGTACACGGACCACGGCCACTGCGGCCTGCTCCGGACGTCGCTGGACGGCGAAGAGATCATCGACAACGCGGCGACCGTGGCCCGGCTCGGCGACATCGCGCTCGCGTACGCCAAGGCCGGCGCGCACATGGTGTGTCCGTCCGACATGATGGACAACCGCATCGGCGTGATCCGGTCGACGTTGAACCAGCACGGGTTTGCGCACGTCAGCATCATGGCGTACACGTCCAAGAAGGCGTCGTGCATGTACGCGCCGTTCCGCGACGCAGTCGAGTCGACGTTCAAGGGGGACCGGAAGCGGTACCAGCATCCCGTCGGGAGTGTGTCGCATGCGCTGCTCGCGTACGACCGCGACGTGGCGGAGGGCGCCGACACGGTGATCGTCAAGCCGAGTCTGTTCTACGCCGACATTGTGCGGACGCTGAGCGACAAGAAGCTTGTGCCGGTCGCGTGCTACGTCGTGTCGGGCGAGTACAAGATGCTCAAGGACTACGGCGACTCGACGGGGTCCATGGACGCGGTCGTGCGCGAGGCCCACTTGAGCCTTGTCCGCGCTGGCGGGAGCATCCTGATCACGTACTTTACGCCGTTCATCTTGGAGCGCCTTTTAGATGGAGCGTCCAAGTCGAGTGGTTGCCACGAACCGAACGCCTGAAAACTGGGGAGAATGATGCGGTTTGATCATGTGCGGAGCTCTGTGTTGGAAGGGGATGTGTTGTGCGCCAGGCGTGGTCTGGCTGGGGCTAACCAAAGGGTCGTGCGCTGGCGCATGGATGCTAACAAAAGTTGCTGGCGCTGGTTTAGTTAGAGCTGCTATTGTAGTGACCTTCGCTGTGGTGCGTCGCCGCAAGGGTGCACGTCCTACAGTGCCCAGCCGAAGCAGCATTCCATGGCGGTCACGTTGGCCCTCCAGGCACAGCTTAAATCGCCCTTTGGGGCATGCCCAGTGCATTCGACTCGACGACCACCGTCGTCGGTGTAGTTTTCGCGGCAATTGCCGCCACGGGCCTGTCACCGCCGCGTCGCAGAAGAGCACGTTTTATCAAGTCCGTTACATCATCATTATCCGGATTGTGTCGTTCGCTACAACGACATACAAACTTCAAGACGAATTCTTGGCGAAGGTTTGAGGAGAAATTATCCGGATGACCCATATGCAAAATCCATCGCGATCTGCTTTCGGGTCCACCGCATTAAGTTGTCGGCGGCGGAGAAACTCGATCAAGTCGACGTGCTGCCGCCCATTTGCACCGCTGCACCATCGACCAAAGCACGTGTGTGCCCTGGATTGCCCGCGATCGGACGACTTCATCATGCCCGCTGTGTCCCACACCTTGAAACGCAACAATCGTAACCGTGCTGCGAGCCTTGGGACAGCACTCCCGATGGACTCCATGTGCCGAGAATTCACCGAAACTGGAACATGCAAGTATGGATATCGATGCAAGATGCTCCATGTCATCGATGGTATTCTGAACGGAGACGTGAGGTACCAACCGAGCTGTCATCTCGACTCCTAATGCATTTTTCCAGGGTCCATCCAAGTGCAACACAGCAAAAACGACCACCATCACCCGAACACAGCGCTCGAGTGCCCGCGCATGCATCCCGCCCACTCCACTCTACTGATTCGAACCAGACGCATTCGCCGCCCCTAAAATCTTCGTGCGTCGACTGTCGTCTCCAACCGCCTTCTCACCATTCCATCATCACAGGCAGCCAACCGTGCGCGCGAAATCGCATTCGTCCGACCTGAAGCAGCATCAGCACTCTCACAAGCACAACCGGTCTTCCAAGCAAAGGCTGCGATCAAAGTCCACATGCGACAACAATCGCTGCCACAACGTTGGGCATCATCGCCACAACGCGTCGTCCTCCAACAACCAAGGTCTGCCAAGCACTTCTCTTCCCACCTCGCTTCGTTCCTTGCTCATCTGTTGTGCCAGACGACAATCCGCCAGCTGCCGACGAGTTGATTCCGCCAGTTCCCCCACCGAACAATTTGCCCTTCAACGACTCCACCATGCACCGGTACAGGGCCCTTTACGTCATTTGTCCTTCCAAACTCTCGTTTGCATCACATGCAGGTGGCTCTCCCATGAAATCGAGACTTGCGTCGATCGCGTCGATGTCACCATGCACCTGCTTCGCGACAAGCAACGGCGCGCCACGGCCGCCTTGAACCGCCTCGTGCAAGACTTGTACCCAGCATCGCAAGTCGAAGTGTACGGGTCGACTTACACCCAGCTCTGCCTGCCTCACAGCGACGTGGACTGCGTGATCGTGTTGCCGACCACGGATGGCATCCCATGCCCCATTGACATGCTCGAGACAGTCATGACGGCCCTTGGCGCGTGTCCATGGGCTGGCCATCTCGAGCTCGTCCGGAGCGCTCGCATTCCGATTTTGAAGCTGCAGTTTGTCAAAGGAAAGCTCCCGGTCAAAATGGACATCACATGCAGTCACTCGCCTGGACACAGCGGCATCGAAGCGAGGACACTCGTCGACGAGTACCGCCTCGCGATGCCAGCGCTCCGGCCGCTCGTGCTCGTGCTCAAGGCGCATTTGCACGCTCAAGGCAAGCGATGATTATGACGACGCATCTACCTGACGCGTGCGGTAGGACTCAACGCATCGTACTCGGGAGGGCTGTCGTCATATGCGCTCGTTGTGCTCGTCGTACGATTTCTCCAAGTACGACATGATGCAGGGAGAGGGAAAAAAGGATGCCCACTGCATGCTCCTGACGTTCTAGTTTCAAGGCGACGTCCATTCTGCGTTTATGGAGGAGCTCGAGCCGCAGTACGATGGCGTGTACGACATGCAGCCGTGCATGATCTACACGTTTTTCCGGAATGGTAGGTTGAGCCGGCGAGACGATATGAGCTGACATGAGATGCGGCGGCTCTAGGGCTTGTTGTGTGGCAAGGCACGATTGGAATGCTACTGCTCCAGTTCCTCGATCTCCATCTTCAATTCGACTTTGGTCGGTATGGCATCTCGATTGCGCATGGCGGGTGCGTTTCGTGAACGAGTCGCTCGTTGACGTCGGTGACGTGCTGAATCGGTAGAGAGTACTTTGAGATTGACACGCCCGGCCACGCCTCGTTTCCACCTGTGTCGCCCATGGTGCACATCATGGACCCACTGCGCTACAACCGCACCATTGGCAATTCCTTCCGCATCCACGAGGTTCGGCAACCTGGATTGGAGGCACGTCATGACGATATGGTTTCGACAGATTGTCCATGCGTGGCAAGTATGGCTTGAACAGATCCTACAGCGCGTGCCGCTCGCGAACTCCTTCGCGCAGTAGCAGCGTCCCCGCTGTTCCGCCGATCGCGTCGTCTTATCTAATGTTACAATTCCTCCGCCTGCCGAGTGTCCGGATAAATTGAGATGTATCCGGTAGAAATCGCGCGCATTTTGCGATTGTTTGAGAACTGCGCAAGATGGCAACCGTTCCTGCAACTCGAGAACGTACCACGGCACGTTCCTGGAGACGAGGACGCGTGCTCCTCGATGGACTCACGAAAGTTGCGTAGGACATCAACGGCGTCGAGACGACCTTCATCGTGAGTGAGTTCAGCGATCGCTTGTTCTTGACCGTGACGCAGCTGGGGACATTTGGCACCGTTGTAAGGCGACGACGTTGGCTTGTTCCATCCTGAATTTTTGCGTAGATGGAAGCGTCAAGCAAGGAAAGCTTGAACGGAAACCCACACGTGGACATCTCCATCCGTCTCGGCAAGCGCGACGATCCGCTTCTTTTGGTGTATGCGCGGCAGTTCCTCGAGCACTTCGGGTACGTCAAGTTTACGTCCATCGAGTGACCCATTCGTGTAGCATTCCGCGTGGGAAATCAATTGTCGCGGCTGTCGGACTGAAAGACCGAAGCTCCGCCACGTTTGAACTCGTCATGGCAGCGTTGAAAGCTCTTCTCCCTTAGACCTCATATCAACTTTACACACGACGCTACTTCTTTTGCCTCGCGTCTTTACCATTCGGCAAGGCGGTCCAAGATGAACGGCGTAAAGTACGTGATCAGGATGCTCCCGCCAGCGCGGACAAGGCTCAAGTGGGCCTCGCGCACGACCGCGTCCATGGACCCCGTCGAGTCGCCGTAGTCCTTGAGCATCTTGTACTCGCCCGACACGACGTAGCACGCGACCGGCACAAGCTTCTTGTCGCTCAGCGTCCGCACAATGTCGGCGTAGAACAGACTCGGCTTGACGATCACCGTGTCGGCGCCCTCCGCCACGTCGCGGTCGTACGCGAGCAGCGCATGCGACACACTCCCGACGGGATGCTGGTACCGCTTCCGGTCCCCCTTGAACGTCGACTCGACTGCGTCGCGGAACGGCGCGTACATGCACGACGCCTTCTTGGACGTGTACGCCATGATGCTGACGTGCGCAAACCCGTGCTGGTTCAACGTCGACCGGATCACGCCGATGCGGTTGTCCATCATGTCGGACGGACACACCATGTGCGCGCCGGCCTTGGCGTACGCGAGCGCGATGTCGCCGAGCCGGGCCACGGTCGCCGCGTTGTCGATGATCGCTTCGCCGTCCAGCGACGTCCGGAGCAGGCCGCAGTGGCCGTGGTCCGTGTACTCGCACATGCACACGTCGCACGCGACGAGGAGCGACGGCAGCTCGGTGCGCAGGACCTTCATGACCTCCATGACGGGGGTCGACGGGTCGTCCGCCATGCATCCCTCGGCGTCCTTGTTGTCCACGACCCCGAACAGCATGACGCTGCGCAGGCCCTTCGCGACGAGGCCGTCCAAGTGTGCGACGAGGGTCGCGTAGTTGTTGCGGTTGCCCCACTGCACGTTGGGTTCGAGTCCGCGGATGGGGTTGTCGTCCGGGCGAGCCGTGATGAAGAGCGGGTAGATGAGCTGCGACCCATGGAGCGTCGGCTCGGTCCATGCCCGCATCGCGGGGTGGCTCAGTCCAGAGTGCAGCGTCGTCGTAGCCATCGGCGAACGTCAAATTCGTACCGCTTGGACAATATGAAAACATGCAGTGCGTTCCTTCTAGATATTAATAAATAGAGGTCTTCGCACGATGGTTCTTAATATGGTGTTTGGTATGTCTTTTGGGACTAATACAACATGGTATGGGTGCAGCATCACCCTGTCGAGTTGGAATTGTATGAACTAAGGAATTGGGCGGTGGAACATGGAGCGCTTGCTAGTGATACGTGCCTACCTAAACTGGTGCCGCTGCTATCGCGGGAACGAGGCTGAACTGCGTGTGCATCCCGCCCAATTGCATGGTAGGGTTGTCTGGTAGGATAAAAAGAAAGCGGTTAATTTTTTGGCACATTGCTGCGGGAATTCGAGAGGTTGGAATTTTATTGACGGGATTTTTGTATGCAGTCAAATTAAATTTCGTATCGACGGCGCGACCACAATTTCGCGGGTGGCATTTGGAATTTGTGTTGACCGCCATGACCGCGCAAGCGTTGGTAGCTGCGATCGTGGCGAAGGGCGATGAGATCCGTCAGCTAAAGAGCGACAAGAAAGACTTCCAAGCTCAGCTGGCTGAGCTGAAGAAGCTCAAGGACGAATACAAGTCGGCGACGGGCGAGGAGTACAAACCCCCAGCTGCCCCGAAAGCGGCCAAGGCGGCGCCTGAACCCGCCAAAGCGGACGGCGAAAAGTCCAAGAGTCAGCTGAAGAAGGAGAAAAAGCTTGCGGAAAAGGCTGCTGCCTCGTCGGCTCCCAAGGAAAAGGCCGCGTCCAAGAAGCCTGCAAAGCCGTCGGCGACTGCCAAACCTGTCGACGCGACCGCCGCGATCCCATCGGGGGTCGACCTCGTCATGCGGCAAGCCAAGTACGCTCATCACACGGCATTGCACGGTGCGTCGAGCGGTCAGAAGGTCACGCCTTGGGAAGTCGAAGCGGAAGGCGGCGTCGACTACGAAAAGCTCGTGGACACGTTTGGGTGCTCCAAGTTGACTCAGGACCTGGTGGACCGCGTCGAGAAGCTCACGGGGGTGCGTCGTCGGCCCGTCAACATGCGGCCATCTCGAGTCGACGTCCTACTGACATGTTCATGCATAGGTGCGCGCGCACCGGTACCTCCGCCGCGGCTATTTCTTTGCGCACCGCGAATTCAACGAGATCCTGGACCTGTACGAGAAGGGCCAAAAGTTCTACTTGTACACGGGGCGCGGCCCTTCGAGCGGCAGCCTCCACTTGGGCCACTTGATTCCGTTCTCATTCACGGCGTGGCTGCAGAAAGCGTTCAACGTGCCCCTCGTGATCCAACTCACGGACGACGAAAAGTTTTTGTTCAAGGACCAAACGCTCGACGAAAGCGAGAAGATGGCATGGGAAAACTCCAAGGACATCATCGCGTGCGGGTTCGACCCGAAGAAGACATTTATCTTTCGCAATGCAGACTACATCGACACGATGTACCCCGAGATTCTCAAGATTCAAAAGTGCGTCACGTACAACCAAGTCCGTGGCATTTTTGGGTTCTCCGGCAGCGACAACATTGGCAAGTCGGCGTTTCCGGCCGTCCAGGCGTGTCCATCGTTCCCGCAGACGTTCCCGATCCCGTTTAGCGGCCGCACGGACCTCCGGTGCTTGATTCCGTGCGCCATCGACCAGGACCCGTACTTTCGCATGACGCGGGACGTCGCGCCCCGGATAGGGTACCAAAAGCCGACGCTCATCTTTTCCAAGTTCTTTCCGGCGTTGCAAGGTGCGCGATGTCTTGACGATCGAGCTTCACACGGGGTTGCATAGGCGCGTCGACCAAGATGAGCGGCAGCAATGCGTCCGCGACCATCTACATCTCGGACTCGGCCGACGTGGTCGCGGACAAGATTCGCCGGTTCGCGTTTAGCGGCGGCGGCGAAACCAAAGCCGATCACGAAAAGTATGGCGCAAACCTCGACGTCGACATCCCGTTCCAGTACTTGACGTTCATGCTCGAGGACGACGCGGAGCTCGCGCAACTCGCCGAAGAATACGGCAGCGGACGCATGATGTCAGGCGTTGTCAAGGACAGGTTGATCCAAGTCATGGCTGACACGAACGCAGCCTTCCAAGCCAAGCGCGCCGCCATCACGGACGACCAAATCCGCGAATTCATGCGTGTTCGACCGTTGGAGTTTTAACTTGCATGAATGCCACCATGCATGTCGATCGCACACGGCATGCCTTTCACCCTACTCTCCCGTTGGTACTTTTCGTTGCAAGTTGTGCCAGCGCCGCTGTGCTACATGCAGTGGCGGGTCGCAAGTTGCCGCCTCCGCCAAGCAACGTGCGGACGTCCAACGCCGCGACCATGGCCAAACTGCGAGGGTGGCGCGGCCCCCGTCGAGGCACTGCCGTGGCTCGATTGCATGGACTTGCCGAGTTGCTGGGTTCGATTCAGCCGGTCCAGGCGCAGCCTTACCTTGGCTTGATGGAGGTGCGGCTCCCACCGCGTTTGGCATGACAGGATTCCGATGCCTCGCCACGTTCCTGGCTCGTTGGGGCGAAGACGATGGAGACGCTCCAAGCAGGTGGGCCAGTCGGTGCGGTTGCCCGTCGTGCGATTCTTCTATTTTGGACAAACTTTCGAATCCGAGCGCCACACACGTGACGGTTCGCTGCAGCGCATGACCGTGCCGTGGGTGCTGTTGCTGGCTGCGGGCGTCGCATTCGGTCAAAAATGCAAGCTCTCGACGACCATCACCAAGGCGCCAGGTGCGGCGACACTGTCGTCGTGATAATGACTCGGTCGAGTGTAGGCGTCTTGGTCGATCGAATGCCGCAGACCCAAGGCACGTACGAGCCATCGACGGACTGCCACTGGAAGATCTCGACGGCGAGCCCAAACAAAGTCGTCCAGCTCGACGTGGACATCGTCGACTTGACCATGGACGTATACAACGACGTGCTGCTCATCAACTTGGGCGTCGACGCTGCCGTGCCCCAAGGATGGAGTCGGTACAGTCGCAACACGGACATCATGGGCCAGGACAACGTTGGAGCATTTGATTACACGTCGACCATTCCAGGGAGCTGCACATCCGTTCAGGGAAGTTCGTTTGACCCGATGACGTGCAGCCTCACGGACGGATCCCTCTTGACCGATCGACGCCGCGACGGGTCGTGGATTTACTTTACTGGAACGGGCGACGGCATCGTCCCGTTCACGTTGGTGTCGATGGCGCCGGACGTGTTTATCGTGTTCCGATCGTTTGCCAAGATGAACTCGGTGAATGACGGGAATACCGGCGTGTCTGGCGTGCGGATCTCGTACTCGTTTGGTACGGGCTATGTTCGTCGAAGCGTGTTGACGGTGCCGCGTAGTGAGCGCGTACTGCGATGGCGTGACGGTGCTGACCCCGCGCTTGGAAGCGACCGACGCAAACAGTGTGTCGATGGAGATGCAGATCAAGGACAACATGGCTGGAACGACCAAGCCCAACATGAACTGTTCGTGGTTGCTTCAACCGTTCCGCGACGGCGCGGCGCGGGTGCCATTTGACTCGATCTGGCTCGACTTTCGAACGTTCGACCTCAAGGGCGGGGCCATCGTGTCCATGTACGAGTTGCGTCCTTGATCCGTGTGAGTTTGTGTTGGCTCACACCTGTCCAGGTACGACGGCACGTCGGCGAATGCGCCGCTCTTGGCGCAATTCATTGAAACGAATGGTCCGCAGGACACGATCAAAACGCCGCGGGCGCACGTGTACATCACGTACTTCACGGACCACGGGCCGCCGTCCGCGGGCTTTACGCTCGGGTGGAAGGCATCGTACTGCCCGAATGCGTGCAGCGGACCAAGCCATGGCACGTGCGTCCTGGGGTCGTGCGACTGCAACAAAGGATGGGATGGCAACGCATGCAACATTCCAGAAGGATGGCTCTGCGCCGCGTCGCATTACGATTCCAACGACGGCTGCGACTGCGGCTGCGGCCTCTTCGGTACATTCCATCGCACAATTGCGTCGATGTCACGACGAAGCGACTGTAGACCCTGACTGTGGGTCGTTGAACCCGGCCTTGATGACGTGCACACGGACCAAGGCGTCGTCGTCGGTGGTGGCGTACGACGGCGCGGCAGGACGGCTCTTTAGCGGGGACTGCGCTTATTGTCCGCTTCCACCCGCCATCACTGGTACAGCATGCACCCTACACTCGATGGTAGCTCATGTTTTGTCGGCAGTCCAACCACAGCTTCCCAACGTGGACTGGGATGGGAACGCGCTCGAGCAGTCGTGCCCCGATGTGTTCCAGTGCCCCCACGGCACTCAATGCAGCCCTACGGGCATGTGCACGAAAGTCGCCGACGCTGCGCCGCCCGACATTTCGATTCGCAGACAATGCACATCGTCCACAGACTGCCCGGACGCTACCGTCTGCAACGCCCAACACATTTGCGAAGCGCCGGCAAATTACGCGCTCCGATTGACGAGTGCAACGACTGCGACGGTCTGCTCGATCTACGGCATCCCGTCGACCCCAGACTTCACCGTCGAGCTGCGCCTCCAAGTGCTCTCGCCTCCCGTAGGCAACGACATCCTGGTCAAGCACCCGGATCTCGCCATCAAGCGGTCCTCTGGACTGACCATCACAGTGGGCATGTCCCCGCCGTGGATCACGGCCGTGAATGTCGCGGATGGCAATTGGCACTCGATTGTGTGGGTGTGGGCGAATGCCGCAGGCACCATGTCGGTGTACGAGATGTCGGCGACAAACGACGCCATGCTGGTCGCGAGCACGACAAGCATATCGCCGAACGTGCCGTTGTCGGCAAACCAAAACGTGACGCTCGGGCCCATGGACGGAGCGATCTCGTTCATGCGAATGTGGACAGAGGTGCGTCCCGTTGCAACGTTTTTCCAGCCATCCCCCGACCGACTGCATCTTCTTGCCGAGTACCGATTCATGGAAGGATCGAGTCGCGACTTGTCCGCCAACCAAAACGATATGGCGACACCGACCCTGTCGTTTGGGGCGTATCCTCCAAGTACGCAGTCGCGCTGTCCTTTCATCTCACTTGCTTGGAATGGTTTAGAGCCGTACGATTGCGTGGCGTCGCCGTTTACCATCCCAAACGGGCTCGCCGTCGGCGCCGTCGTCGCCGTCACCGCAACTTCAACGAGACCGTGGAGAATTGGAGTCTTCAACGCGGGGAACGTGAGAGTCTTGGCAGTGACCGGGTCGACCAACTTGGTCGACATCGCCGTGGACGGCGCGTCGGTCGCAACGATCGCCGTGGCGGACGTCACAGCCAAGGCACTCTTGATTCGACTGCACCGAACGTCGAGCACCGAGATCGAAGTGTGTGTAAACGATGTGGCATGCAAGACGATCGCGGCGCCGTCGACAGCCATGGCGTATGTGGCTGTGAATACCGCTCCTTACGCCGGGCCTTCGGCTGGCCTGCAGTCACCGTGCCTCGTTCACGTCGGTACGGCTGGCGTACACGCATGCAACGATGCGGTGACCGTGTTGTGGTTTGGATCTTGTAGAATCGCTGGCGGCGTTGGCGCCGATCGTGTCTGTCCCGACGAAGACGGTCGATGGCGCTGACTGCGACTTTCCGTTTGCGATCTCGTCTCGAAGCTGCAACGCGTTTTCCACGTACTTGGCGACGAAAGCATACACAGCAACGGCCTTTGTCCCGCTTGCTAAAGCGTACGCCGTCGGCCACCACTTGGACAGCGCCGACGAAGAGTGCCAGTGCGACGACATGCCGACGTGGTCCACCAACTTTAAAATTAGCCAAGTCGACTCGGCTACCCCCACCACGATCGTCGCCACCGTCGACTACATCAAGATCAAGACACGAATCAACGACCCGGGAGGAGGCGGCATCCAGTGTGGCGCGACTTGCTACATGCTGGAAGTTCCTGGCCATCGGCGCTTGGCCGGTGGCCCACCGGGACCACCCCCGACCTCTGCAACGCCACCTCCACCACCACCCCCCGGTCCAACTCCAGCCTCCGTGCCAGTATACGATTCCGGCACCCTCGCCAGGATGTACAACGTCAAGCGTGACTTTGTCTTTGTCGACAACGCTGGCTCGTGGTCCGTGCAGTCCGCGACGGCCGACGGCATTGTGAGCTCAACCAACTGCCTCATCACGGGCCCCGATGCATCGCAGGTCGTCGAGTCCCTCACGTCGTTCAGCTGCCAAACACTAGGGGACACCACCATGGACGCGCCGTCCCTTCCGTACTGCATCCTCCACAACGCCAAGAAAACGTGTCAAAGCGACTACGACGGATGCTCTCTCACGAACGGCGCAGCTACGATGACATCGCTCGATGGATCGTTTAGCGACAACTACAAAGGCAGCATCACGACAGGCGTGCACGTGTGTGCATTTCACGTCCAGCCCGCCGTTCCCGAGCCTCTTCGGCAATATGCCAACGTGTCGTACACGATCCAAACGGCCGAACTGTCCGCCAGCGACGAGCTTCAAGTCACGGACAGCGCGGGGCGGCCGCTCGGCCCCGCCATCTCTGGCCCTGTCGCCTTCGCGTAGGCATGATGCGGGTGCATTCCGGTGCTGATGCATGCATGTAGGGACTTGCCGACCAAGGCAATGGTGTCGGGCCTCGCAGCCACGTTTACCTTGCGCACTGCTGGCGACAAAACGTCCATCACGAACGACGGATTTGTCGTCGAGTACGACACAATGTACTCGTTCCCCGACGCAGCGACTGCCCACTTTTGCGGCGCGGCGCAAACAAGCATGACTGTGTCCGGTGCGACAATCTTTCCAACCACGTCGTTCGCGACGGCGGTGGCGTACCCCGCTCTCGCCAACTGCACCTACGTCCTCCGCGCGCCGCCTGCTTCGTATTCGTCCATTTGGCTCGACTTTCTCGACTTCAGCATGGCGTCGACCTCGGATCGTATGGAGCTCTACGACGCCGACACGTCCCCGCCGACGCTCTTGGCTGCATTCACCAACACAACGTATGCGCTCCCGCACTACGGCATCGTGTTCACTGGCCAAGCCGACTACATCCTGTCGTCGTCCTCGTTGGCGGCGCTTCCCCGGACAGTCGTCTTTTGGATTCAAGTACCGGTCACCGTCCAAAAGGATTGCACCGTCGCGAACGCGTGCACGAACAACGTGGCCAAGAAGATGAAGGTCCTTGGCACCGAATTCAAGTCGTCTGCGGCATGTGCTAAATTCAACGTCGAGCTCGACGTGGACACTGGGTTCCTTTCCATGTTCTTGAATGGCGCCAACCACGTGATCGAGCAAGATGTCCGCCAAGGGTCGTGGCTGCACGTGGCGTTGGTGTACCGGGAACTCGACAACGTCATGTTCGGGTACCTGAACGGGGTGCGCGTCGCCATGTCGGCGGTCACGGGGGTTTTCAATCCGTCCCTGCCGCCGTGCAGCTCGGACGTGTTGTTCCTCGGCGGACAGCCGTCGTTGCCGGACGACCGAAACGTGTTTTTCAACGGAATGCTGCGGCAAGTGGCGCTCTATGCCGATGCCAAGACCATCTACCACGTTGGCCGGCTCATGGGTCGCCCATGCGATGCCACCGATGCGGCACTGCTTGTCTGCTACGCGTTCACGTCGATCGACGCGTCGACCGCAACGGACGACAGCTCGTACGAGCTGCACGGTCGATTCCACGGGACGTCGCTGTATACCCAGAATCCGCTTCAGCTATCGTCGTTGCTGCACAAGACGTTTACGTCTGCGTCGGCGACTGTCATCGTTCGATACTTTCCGACGTCGGCCAACTCGACCTTCCGCTTTCTTGCGATGCCAAAGGTCTGTCCGCCGTGTGCGTCACATGGGACGTGCCGCCGAGGCCAGTGCCACTGCGACAGCGGGTACACAGGGGCCACGTGCAACATGGTCGTCGACGCGTGCCCCCAGGATGTCCTCGTGCCGTCGAAGAAAGGCGTTCTAGTGTTTCCGACGAAAGCGCCGACCGTCGGCCACTTTGTCCCGTCCGTGCCGTCTGGAGGGTACCCCGCGGCGCTCGACTGCTCGTTTCACTTGCGCAAGTCGAGCTCGAAAATTGTGTTGACGTTCGCCAAGCTCGATCTGGACGAGTCCGATGCGATCATGGTGTACGAGGGCCGGCGAGAGTCGCCAAGGTACTTGGCTAGCCACAACCTCACGGCAGACGTGGCCATGGACAGCGCGTCGTACTTTAGTCGAGGAGCGTACGGGTACTCGCGCGTGATTTTCAAAAACGTGTCGGCGTACGATGCGACAGCCGTGCTGTGGCCCGTGGTCGCAGCTCCGCAGCCAGGCAACTGCTCCAAGACTTTCCACGTCGTCAAGTACCGTCGCGGGATGGCGTGCGCTGACGCGACGTCCGTCGGCCTCAATCAAACCTGGGCCGCTCACCTGATCTCGTCGTACTGGTGGCTCGAGTCGCCCGAAGCGTTTTCGACCCAGATCACGCCGCGACGACTGGTTTTCAACGACTACACCGCCGATGCAGCCACCGTCACGACGGAATTCACCAAACTTGTCCTTGGCCAAGGCAAAGTGACGCGGCCCCATCCCGGTGTGTTTCGCTTCCGCCGGCGCACCCAGCCGTTCACAACGTGCCAAGACGGAAGCAGTGAGGGACTGGACATTGTTTCCCTTGTCGAGGCGACAGGCATGCACACGTTTTCGAGGCCGGACGCGGCGGTGGGATACCAGCAGGCTCCGATTGTGTCCCCGGTGTTCCGGTATGCCGGAACGTGGTCCCTCGACACGTCCAAGCCGTTCTCGGGGGTGTTCCGGTCGCCGGGATTTGTTCCGCAAGTCGGATTCTCGCCGTTCACGATTGTCGTGCGCGCGACGGTCGCTCTGACGAGCGAAGTCCAGTACTTGTTTGCCCAGGAAGACAACCCCGCGTCGTCGATATTTCTCAAGATCTCCGAGTCCCGCCGCGGCCTCGGCAAGTGGACGTTCGGCGCGTATGCCACCAACGACAAGGCCACACCTGCCAGCCCGGCGTCGTTCTCGCGGGACACCATCATGCTTGCGATCACATTCAACAACGGCGTCGTCAGCTATTACGTGAACGGAGTCCTCTTTGGCACGCACGACACGGACGCGTCGTATCAAGCGTGCGTCGACCAGTGCATCCTTGACGACACGGATCCGTGGTGGGAGTGCCGGAACCAGGAGCCCATGTACAACTTTGGCCACTCGAACCGCCTTGTCATGGGGGGCCGCTTCCAAGGCTCGACGGTCTTGAATCCGTGGAAGGGCCAAATCCTCGAGCTGAGCGTGTACGACATGGCGCTGCCGGACGCAGTCGTCGCGTCGCTCTTCACCGGTGTCGGCGCCATTTCGTCGTCCGTCAGCAAATTTTCAGTCAACAGCTTTGCGAGTCGGACGCAGGGCGAAGCCAGCACGATCGAAGTCCTGACAGTGCCCGTCGGGAATGACCAGCAAGCGTCGTCGACCTTTATTCGACGGTGGCACGTCCATCGGTACGCGTGCGCCACGCCCGCGCCGTCCCTGGACACGCCCCACCTCGCGACCATTCTCAACGCGTCGTCTGCACTTACCAAAGTCGTGTACAACGCAATGGACGACACGGCAGCGCTCGTGTCATGGTCGACTGCGTCGTCGCCGTTTGTTCAGACATCGCTGGTTCGATCCAAGTCGTATGGCCACGGCCTCACGGCGACCGCGATCGTGGACCTTCTCGTCGAGTACGGCCTAGCCAACGACAACTTTCCGTACGTTGTCACGGCGGTGTTTGTGACGGCGATGACATCCACGTCGGCGTCCGTGGGATTTCGATTCCTCGACGCGCAGCGGCAGATTGTCGAGGCCACGGCGACACTGCCCCGCGTCAACAACACGTGGACGCACCCCACGGCCGTGCATCGGCTCACGGTGCCGCCCTACGGCGTCCTTCCCCCGACAAAGTGCCGAGACGACCGCGACAGCACCGTCCCTCTCACAGACACGTCAGGTATTTTGTCGGACGGAGGCGCGACCGAGTCGTCGATCGTCGCCCCCAACACGCAATGCTCGTGGGTCCTCCGCGCCCCCGTCGGGGAAACCATCACGATCTCGTTCACGTATTTCTTTATCGACTGCATGGAAGGGGACCTCACGATCGACGACGTCGACGCGCACACGTCGACGCCGCTATGTGGGTCGATGGCTGGTTGGTCGGCCACGTTTGGCGCCAACGTCCGTCTCAACTACCACATTGGCCCGCCGCCCATGGGCATGAACAACCATCCGATGCCGATGATGAGCACGGGTTTCTTTGGGCAGTACGTCTTCTCCAACGATAACCCGGTGCTGGACACGACCGAAGGGGCAGCTACGTTCGGCCCATGGACCGTTGCCGCGGCCGACGCTGTTCGCCCGGGGTCCACCCAGTGCCAAGTCGACACAAACGACGAAGCGCCGTCGTACGAGTGGAAGATCCAAGCGAGCTCGGTCCAGACCAACATGGACGACTCGTGCTACGAAACGCAATCGAACGATGCCGACTTTGAGTGGGAAGTCGAGTCGTTCGACTTGGCGACTGGCGATACGATCCAGTGCAAGGACGACAAGTGGGTGGTCGACGAGACCATGCCGTGGACGGCCGTCGCCATGGACCGCGTCGGGGGCACCGAGAGGTACACGGACCCTCCGACAACCGTCGAGCACGCTCCTGCATTCACCTTGACCAAGGCGACGCAATCCTTGGCAGCAACGTACGTGTCAGAACGCAATGCGCTGCAAGTTCGCATCCAGTCGAGTGCAGGAGGCCGCGGACGAGCGGTCATCGAGTACTACATGCCCCAGATATACTACGTCGCTCCGGCGAGTTACCAAGGCGTGGATGGAAGCAATGGCGACGGGTCGCGAGAAATGCCATTCACGCACTCGTTCCAGTACTTGATGGCGAATGTTCTCGCGAGTGGGGACATGCTCCGACTGTATCCCGGACGGTACGAAGGCACGGGGTACTGCAACTTGGTGTGGACCGAGCCCGTCGTCATGGAGAGCATCAGCGGCCCCGAGTGGACAGTGCTCGACTGCAATGGATTATCCAGGGGCTGGCAGCTCAAGCACGCGTCTGGGCTCTCGATCTTGAAAGGCATTACGTTTACGCACACGATGGTGTCGTCGACGCCGTTTACTGGCGCCGCCGTGCTAGCGTCCGGCGACGTCCATATCGAGTCGTGCGTGTTTGATAGCAACGTCCATCGTGCCCAAGGAACGCTGGCGATCGTGGCCCCTAGCGTTTCCAAGGTCGTCAACTGCTCGTTCGTGTCCAACTCGGGCCTGAGTGGCCCTGCCATCGCTGTCCTCTCCGCCACCGCTACGCTCGACGCTATCCGTGCCGTCGACAACTTTGCAAGTGTGTCTGGGGCACTCTTCGTCAGCACTTACGTTGAAGGCGCGACCATGTCGCTCTCGTCTCCATCCCGTGTGGTCGTTTCCAAGTCGGTGTTTCTGCGGAACAAGGGGTCGAAAGAAGGAGCTTTGACGGTCGCACGGTCCAGTGTTGTCGACGTGACCAGTTGTGAGTTCATCGCAACAGCGGCAGCGGCGATTGCGGTCGATGCGTCGACGCTCAAGCTCGACAAGAGCATCATGCAGGGCAACCTCGGTTCGGGCATTCTTGCTTCCAACGCAGCTCTGGTGGTCGCAACGTCGTCCACGTTTGCCGGCAATGCCGCCAAATCTGGCGCCGCCGTGTCTCTCGACGCGTCGTCGTACCAAGGACGTGGGAATGCATACACTGGGAACACAGCGACTGTGGCAGGCGGCGCCATCTACGGCCAAGGCTGCCACTACACCGAAGTCGACAGTTCGTTCGTCGGCAATGCCGTCGGCAATGCCACCAACGCCATCGGTGGAGGCGCATTGGCATTCACATCGAGCAACAGTGCTGTCGACAGTGCAACTTTCCAAGTGGTTATCCAGCGCTGCCTGCTCCAAAGCAACGCAGCAACGTTCGGAGGAGCGATGCAACTTGGAGATGTCCACGCGGCGTTGGTGAGCAACCAATTTGTCCGCAACTCGGCGGGGCGCTTCGGTGGCGCCATTCGAGTCGCCAACTGCATGGCCCAACGCGACGAAGTTGTCCTGGACGTGCGGGATAACGATTTCAACGGCAACACGGCGGGTCGAGGGGCGGCTGCGTACGTGGAAGCATCCGACGTCGTGCAATTCGTTGCAAATACGTTCCGCGGCAACTCGGCGGCGTCGTTCGGCGGAGCGATCGCCGTCGTGGCGACCTCAAGGGTGCAAATCACCACGTCAACGTTCCAAGGATGCGTCTCCAGCGGGGGTGGCGCCGTCTACGCCGCGTCGGAAACCACTCTCGACATTGTAGACTCGACCTTTGCGCAATGCTCGAGCCGTTCGCATGGCGGTAGTGTGTACGTCGAGAACTCGCAGCTCGCACTGGCAAACGTGAACGTCCAAGGGGTACGTGTCCCGCGCGTGACCTCGTTCCACTAACGACGTGCAGGGCAATGCAAGCGGCAACGGCGGCGCGATCGTGCTCATGTCGCAAGGAACGTCGATCCGCGCGACCAACGTCACAATCGCGTCGACGTCGGCCAACAAAGGCGGCGCGTTCTACTTAATCGATTGCAACATCTTGGCAGGGCATGTGTCGGACGTCCGGGTCGTCAACACATCCGCGGTCCACATGGGCGGCGCGTTTTATGCAGTCCTTGTCACCATGGACCTGACGCGCTTGACAGCGATCGACACATCGTCTGCCAGCGGCGGCATGATGACGCTGGAGGACTCGACGGCGACGCTGACGGACTCGACCGTTCTCCGCTCGACATCGCTCAAGAACGGCGGTGCGTTCTACGTGATTATATCCGACTTGGCGTTGGTGTCGTCGACCATCGACCACAACCGCGCGACAAACTATGGAGGAAGCGTGTACGGGTTTGCAAGCCACGTGACGCTTGTCGACTCGTCGCTCCGGCAAAGCACGTCCGAATTCGGCGGCGGTCTCTACGTGTCGTCGTCGACGTTGGCGATTGTCCGGTCGACCATCCGTTCCAACGACGCGGACGCCGGCGGCGCATTTTATGCCGACCTGACCGATGTTGCCATTCGAGACTCGACATTTCATGCCAACGTGGCGGCCACAAGCGGCGGTGTGGCTTTCATATCGAGCAATTCGGTCCAACTGGACAATTCCACCTTTACGAGCAATGTTGCCAACCAGGGCGGCGCGCTCTGCTTGGCCGGGTTGACGTCGCTGGCGGTAGTCAATTGTGCATTCGTCGACAACTCGGTCGCGAACACGGCCGCGACAACGCTTCGACCTCTTGGCGGCGCCATCTACGTTGACCAGATTGAGGAAAACTCGACCATGTCGACCTGCGTCTTTCACAACAACTCAGCTGGCGACGCTGGTGGGGCCATGTATGCTTCCAACGCCGCTGCCTCGTCGTCGCGGAATCGCCCCACGCTATCTGTCGCCCACACAACGTTCCGCGCCAACGTTGCAGACACGTTTGGCGGCGCAGTCTTCATCGATGGCCTCGAGACATCGCTTCAAGCGAATGTGTTCACGGCCAACGTTGCTGCGCGGGGCGGTGGCGGCGCGATCTTTTGGCAAGGTTCAGCCGAACCCGTCGGACTGCCGCTTCAAACGTACGCTGGCAATTCCGCGGAGTACGGTCCAGCGTATGGGTCGGTGGCGGTGGCCCTTCGACCAATATACATCCCGCCACCTTCGCTAGTGGTTGGGCAGCCAGGAGGGGAAGGCAGCGCCCAGCCCTTTGTCGGGTCGTTCACCGTCCACGTCGTGGTATGGCACTGGGCCCTCGGACTCGGCATCATTCTGTATCGTAGGACAAGTACATGCAGACCGTTGCGACGGAAAACAGCGTCCAGGTTTCGATCGAAAGCAATACGGTCGGCGCGTTCGTGACTGGGACGACCAAAGTGACGGCACGCCACGGCGTGGCCAACTTCACGCAAGCCGGCGTCCAACAAATGCCAGGTAAGACCGACGGTCCACACATGCTTGACCATGTCGCGCCGCCGCATCGACAGGGTCGAATGCCACCGTGGCCGTGTCGGCGTCTGGCCTTGTTGCGTTGGCCACGGTCGAGCTGCGCATACGACGGTGCGTGCGGGGAGAAGTGACCCCCGTGGGGGTCCCGCAGTGCGTCAAGTGCCCGTTTGGTCAATTCAGCTGGAACACAAGCGATACGGTGTGCCACGAATGCCCCGTTGGCGGCGTGTGTGGCGGTGGCGACAACATCGAAGTGCTCGACGGGTACTGGCGCTTTGAAAACTCCACGGGGGTGTGCAACGATCCAAGTTACCCCTATGACGGGTGCCGCCTCGGGACGTGCCTGGACAAGGCGTGCAATGGATTCACTAAGGGCGACGTGTCGGCGACCGTCCGTTTGGATGGCCCGAACAACACGATGATTCTCACGATCCGGTCCGACACGATCGGGTACCAGCCCAACGACACGCTGTTTGTCCAAGGCGAAGAGCTGCGCGTCGTAAGCGTTGAAAAGATCGGCGACGGCACGGCGTCGTTCCAGCACCACGTGCTCGTCACCGGCAACGCGCTGTCGACCACAGGTACGCAACGACCTGTTTTTTTCACTTTTCATGCGTGGCCTAGGGACGGTCGACATTTACGTACGAGGCACGGAACGGTGCAAGCCAGGGTACACGGGCAACCTTTGCTTTCAGTGCGCCCCAGGGTACACGACGTGCGATGCGATGGTGCGTCGACTGACCCACGTGTGCAGGTACACTCGCAGTGGCAAAACGGCGTGCACGGCGTGCCCGGACAGCTTGACGCTGACGGTGGTGGTGCTCGTGCTCGGTGTGTTTGGCGTTGGGGCGGTCGCGATGATTTTGATTGTGATGACGATCAACAAGTCGCGGCAAAAGGCCGATTTGTACTCGATCTTGACCAAGATCTTTACGTCGTATCTGCAGCTCGTGAGTTTGGCCGGGTCGTTCGACATGCAGTGGCCGCAACAAGTCAAGGCCATGTTTGCCGGCCAAGCGCAGATCTCCAACCCAGGCGACAAACTCATCTCGATCGAGTGCCTCATGGACCAGTACAAGCGCACGATGCGTGCCAATGCGTTTACGACGCTGAGCAACTACTACATGCAACTGATCGTGTTCCTCACGTTGCCCGTGTGTGCCGTGGTGTTTCCGCTTGTGTTTTGGCGCGTCCGCTTTCGCCTGGCGTCGCGGCGCATCGTGCGTCGCGACTGGGGTGTCGCTCTCAACGCTGTCCTCGGTCGTGGCACCGGTACGACCGCGTCGACCCGCTTTCTATCGACGCACGAACGAATCGTGTTGTGTAGGGTCGGACGTGATGCTCCAAGACCAAGAGCTGGCGGACGTCCTCGTCGCCGTCCAGGAAAAGCCAAGCGACATCGTGTTGGATTATGTGCGCACGATCAGCAAGATCGCCGACGGCCCGCAGCCGCTCTCGGTTGTAAAAGCATCGTTTCTCCAAGCCACGCGCGACGAAATGCGCGACAAAACCGTGCTCAGCATCATCGTGCTCATGTTTCTCGTGCACCCGGGGCTGAGCAACCAGATTTTTCAACTGTACACGTGCACCGAACTCGGCTACGATGGCGGCGGCACGCGCCTCTACTTTCTCAACCCCGACTTGGACGTCCAGTGCTACGACGCAACGCATTACAAGTGGATGTATTTTGTCGGGGTCCCGGCCCTCGTCCTGTACACCGTCGGGATTCCATACTTTGCCTTTCACCAACTGCGCACGCGCCGGCACGACCTCGACAAGCCCCGGACAAAGCTCCAGTTCGGGTTCCTCTACGACGGGTACGCAGTCCCGTCGGTCGGTCATATGTGATCGCGCGGCGTAGGTACAAGTTGGACCACTACTACTGGGAGATTTGGATCATGATGCGCAAGATCATCGTGTCGTTTATCTCGGTGTTCCTCAAGAACTGGGGCACCGCGCCGCAAGCGCTCGGTGCGTCGGGCCTTGTGTTCTTTGCGCTATGGGGGCACATGGAAACGTGGCCGTACGAAGCCGACTGCGTCAACGGGCTCGAGCAAAAGGCGCTCCTCGCGTGCTTGTTTACGCTCTACTGCGGTCTGTACTTGCTCCAGCCCGAAGTCACCACCGTCACGCGCGTCGTCATTGGGGTACCGTCCGCCGTGCGTCCACCCCTGGGCTTGACTCGTCGGCGTAGGCGTTCATCATTACCGCCAACAGCCTCTTCCTCGTCTACTTTAGCCGGCTCATGATTGTGCAAGTCAAGCAAAAGGCGCAAAACGCCATCGGAAAGCTCTCCCGGCAAAAGTACGTGAGCATGGCGGTCAAGAAGGTCCGCAAGAGCAGTGCCGGAGAGACCAAGCGGCCCATGAAGAAGTCGGAGCAGGCCATCGCCCCGGATACAACCATGGAACAACAACTCGAGCAGAGGCTCGACAACACGGACATCTAGCCGCCACACACGCGCCGATCGAGGCATATCCAGTGTGCATGTTAACTGGGGGTTTTCGGCAATAATCACTTGTCCAAATGGTCCTGTTTGTCCAGAATGGCCTCGCTGAGCTTGACCAAGTACTGCAGCTCGACCGTGAGCTGCTTGGACATGGCAAAGTCTTGGTTCGAGTCGAGCGCTTGCGTTAGTTTGTGCATGCACGCTTCGATCTGGCTCGCGTTGGCGGCCTTGAGCTGTTCCAGGTGTTCCATCGAGTCGCACTCTTCAATGTCCTCTCTACAGTGTGCCGCGTATTTCGACGTCATGACGTCTGGAACGCTGTCTACCTCGCTTCCATGATCTCCATCAAGACGGCGGGCTCGACATAGGTCGTGGCGTCGCCGAGCGCGTCGATCCCGTGCAGGCGAAGCTACCGTCCACCGTGTAAGATTGTGAAAACGAAGGGTGGGAGATGCAAGACGTACGAGGTAGTTGGCTCGACTTGTCGGGGCCTTGAGGAGGTTGTATGCTTGGTTCACCAACGCTGAGTTGACCACGGACAACTCCTTCTCCATCTACGTGACGTGTTCATGTGCGTCGCATGCGTCAAGATGATGCTGCGACACGTACCTCGGATTTCGAGCCGTACAAGTCTGGGTGCATCTTCTTCTGGAGCGACCAGTACAGCTGCTCGACCTTTTTTGCATCAATCGCAAAGGATTCGGGGCTATGGGGCCATGCGCATTCACAAGCGACGGGAAGGAAGGACAGACGTACATGCCAAAGATCTTGAAGTAGTTGCACGCGCCTTCCGCGCGCAGTGGTTGAATGTGGTTGCACGCGCTGCAGAAGAACGAGCAACACGTTGTGCGTTCTCCGCACTTCCAGCAAACGTCGGCTACGAGTATTGGTGAGCATCCGAGAAAAGTGATCACCGCTGCGCATACGAGTCTTGTCTGCATCCCCGCACGACGCCTTTTGCGCAGATCCATAGCTTCGGCGACCAGCTCCCGTCCACCGCCGCACTGGCGCCGCTGCCACCACAACGCGCCTCCACATTTCGCTCGTTTGTCGAGGTTCAATGGAGCTCCATTTCCATGGGTCCCCCCATAATTATAAAATATATTTTCTCTGGATTTCGATGCAACAGAATAAAATAATGGGGACCCCCTGAAACGGCGAAGTTGCGCACTCCCCACAAGACAGCTCACGTTGATGGGGAATGCAGCGAGCGAGATCGGATTCAGCGGGCCTGCGTCGATCTTCGACGCTGCTCAGACGTCTGCCTTGGACAAGATCGTTAGTGATCAGCCGTACATGATGAGCGACAACGTGTGGGCCACGTTCTTCACGCTGCATCAGCCGCTGCTGGACCTGCCACCGTCTGCATTGCAGTCCTTCTTCCTACCTTACGCACACAACTTTGGCACGTCACGACCTCTGGTCAGGGAGTTGCGTCGGCCGGACTGACTCCTCTGCATGTAGCTCGCAACACACTCCGAAGTGGTAACTTTCGCATGCTCATTCGCCATGTTACGCGAAGTCTGCGGTACATGTCCCCGTCTCGGCATCTCTCGGACACGATCGCGACGACCACAACCGTGCTGGCGACGGAATCGTATATCGTGATCAACGTCCTGTTTGTCGTACGGCACTTGCTCAAGCACTTCATCGAGTTCAACTGCGACGTCGTCCAGCTCTTTGCGTCGGAAGGCGCGTCGTCCGCGACCACCGCGCTCGCCCCATGTACCCAACTCGGATGCCATGGCGTCAACCTCACAATTGCGTGCCTTACGTAGCCGACAACGACATCGCGGTGGAATTTCTTGATGCGCTCGTTCACGTGCTCGTAGATACATCCAGGTGACGTTTCCAAAAAATCGAGTTACAGACGTCATCGGCGACTATTCCAGCGAGGACACCCACGACCTCCATCTAGAAGGCATCAACTTTCTTCTGGTGCTAGCATCCTCCACAGCATACCCCACAAAACCAATGTCGCCCAGGACCACGTTGCTGGATGTGTTTATGCACCACGCACAACGCAAAGGGCGGGGACGGTCGGTGCAGTGGGCCTCTGGCCTCGTCAAACGATTGTTGCTCTCGTACGTGGATCAGTTACCCGCTCCTCGCATGGACTCGTCTGCCGCAGTCGCCGCCGTGTCCGCTCTGCCTCGTACGCCACCCAACCTCGCTGCTGCGTCGAATGACGTCGCATGGAATCATCGCGAACGTGTGTAGCATCGGCCGCCGGGTGGAATGTCGCCGACTTTTTCAGCGACACGCCCGTCTTTCCACTGGCAGATCGCAGCGTGCTGTTGCTTTTGCTGCTCGTTCTTGGCGACTCCCGACGGTATCGTTTTCGTAGCAAGCGGCGCCAGACCGTCCATTCGCACCACCTGACTCGACCAAGTAGGCACAGCCAGCCCAATCCATTTCGAGAGGCGCTGGCCACGTTGGCCGATCGCGACGAATCCACCGCGCCCCACGGTATTCCGTTCTCGCACGTCGCGGAAGTTGGTGGGAGGTGCGTTGGGTGCATCGCATCGGTGGTGCCGCTGACGCGCGATCAATGCAGGAAGATGCGCACGGAATTCCACGCCATGTTGGTGTACCACATCTTGCTTTGGAACCCGCCGTTCCGTGATGCGCTGTGCCGGCCGGTGGACGTCGACCATTTCGTGAGCGCCACTCGTTCGCTCTCTCGCGACGCAACTAACGCAGGGGTGCAGGTCATGCCGCTGCTCGAAGCCATCTACATCTACACACTGGACCCGCCTCGGTTATACGTGTACTTGGCCATGCTCGTGCACTTGTCGGAGAACCCCCTTGTCGTGCAAACGCTCCATCACACGCAGGCACGTTGTTGTCGTCATCCTGTGCCTTCACCAACGGCGCTCTGCACCTAGGTGCAAGACCACGTCGCCTGGTTCACAGAGAGGTATTTGTGCGACGTGTCTGGCGGAAGCGTCGTCGTTCTCGTGCTCTGCCGCGTCCTGAAAGCCAACTTGAGCGTTCTCCATGACCCGGTCGTGCAATCGATGGCGCTCGGTCTCTTATGGAACGTCATGCAGTTCGCCAAGGCGCTGCACGCTTCGGCAACGCAAAGCTTGTTGAAGTTACTGGCGCACGCGACGAAGAAAGAGCGCCAGCTGCGCGCCATCGATACCGACGCCGCGTCGGCGTACTTGGCGACTGCGCGGGATGTCGTGGTCTGCATCGAGCTCTGCTGCCGCCCCCGCCTGCTGCCGTCGAACGCGCAGCTGGTGCGAGCATGGTTTCGCTGTTGCTCGGCTAAGCGCCGTGACTGGTAGATATATTCGCTCTTGCACGCCAGCGACGTACTGGATGCACTGGCCGTGCATCCAAACGAAGCATTTCGCGATGACATTGCACCTGTCCTGGGCACACTGGCGTACTTCAAAGCGATTGTGGACCAGGCAGAGGACCAAGAAGACGAAGCGGTGGCGGACGGACGGGCAGTTCTCCAACAGCACTTGACCATGGAGCAAGTGCTTGAGCACATTCAAGGAGGGTGCAAGACGCTAGCCCAGGCGGTGAGGAAGCCAGAACTGGCGACGGAATCCAGCCTGACGTGTTGTTGTTCGCAGACGGCGTCGCAGCAACCAGACGTGTACTATCGATACGAAGACGAGCGGTTTACGATGGACGCCCGACAAAGCGACGGGTCAGATTTCTTTCTCCAGCGATTGTGGCGGGAAACCGTGCGCCACACGGCCGATTTTGCATGGAGCGTAGACAAGATGGCGTCCACGGCCGAATCATAAGCCATGCTCCCACGAGAGGCACAAGACGTGATGCAGAGCATGCACATGGAACCCCCGTGATATCGTTGCAGTGATTCAACATACATATAGTAGGCATGAATCATGACAGTATTGCCAGAGAATGCTCGTTGGGATGGAAGGTACATGCCGTTCAACTCAAACGTCCATGGGGTCCTTTTTGGCCATGGGATAGCGCAGCTGGGCAGAGGATTGCCGCTGTGGACATCGTGGAGTGTGCCGCCGGGGCCGAACTCGTCGTCGATGGCGTTTTCCATCGAGGATATTGGAAGGAGTGGAAAAAGGTTTTAATACTAATACAAATATCAAGGTATATTTAAATATGCAATAAAAATCGAGAGAGATCTTGGATTCTTGGCAAGGAGATGAAGCACGACGACGTGCTCGACGACATCGACTTCGACGACCTGGACGACCACCTCGAGCAGTTCCAGCAAGATGACTTCATCAAAGAGGCACTAGCCAAGGGTGTGGACCTCCGCCAGTACGCGCAACAGATCGATCGCGAGTTGCGCGATGTCGAGATGGAGTCGATCACACAATACGTGGCCAAGTCGGCCGACATTGTCGACTTGTACAACCAGGTGCAGTCGTGCGATGACATCCTTGCGCGCATGCAAGAAATGCTGCTTGGATTCCAGGCGGACTTGGGCGGCATTTCCGATGAGATCCGCAACCTACAGAACGAATCCATCGACATGAACATCAAGCTCAAGAATCGCAGGGAGGCCGAAGAGAAACTACGCCTCTTCCTTGACCAAGTGCGTGCGGTCCACTATGCGCTGTCTCGCCCCTGGAGCATGATTCCTTGTTGTGCTAGGTGTACATCCCGCCGACGCTCATAGAAGGCATCGACGACGGCGACGTGAACGACGCGTACATTTCGTACCTCATGATTCTCCACAGCAAGCTCGCGTATGCAAAGCTCCAAAAAGAGGCTCCAACCTCCCTTGGCATCATCCCTGCCTCAGCGAAAGCTGTCCAGCAAGTCGATGGCGACCTCGACAAGCTCAAGCTCCGGGCGTGTGCGCAGGTATCCCGGTCCACAACCTGGTTTGCCTGACAAGAGTGCCGATTTTAGATCCGTGAATGGCTGCTCGGCCGCATCAACGACCTGAAGAAGCCCAAGACGAACGTGCAAATGGTGCAGCAGTCGACTCTGATCAAGATGAAGTACGTCGTCCAGTTTTTGAACAACTACGCGCCGTCGATCGCAAACGAATTCAAAGACACGTACGCCGACACGATGAGTCGCATTCTCGTCACGGTCTTCAAAGCATATCACGTGGCCTTGATGAAGTTTGTGGAAGAGTCATCGACGCGCACGGACGTCATCGCGGTCGAAGAAGCGTCGTTGAAAGCATCCATGTTTAGCTCGCGCGTCAAGCCCACGAATGCGTTTGCGCTCGGGGACCGCGACAAGATTGTCGAGAACGCAGGTGGACCCCCCATCCTCGTCCACGTCGCGCAGGCCGAGGCACTCAAGTGCCCGTATGAAGCCATCTTTCGCAGCACGCAGATCCACTTGGTCAATGCCGCCACGTCCGAGTACCTCTTCCTCGTCGACTTTTTCAAAGCGACGGAAGGGTCGAACCCGGTCCGCATCCACGAATTGTTTCTTCGGGTTTTCGCCAAGACGCTCAGTCTCGGCCTCGAGCAGCTCGAAAACTACCTGTGCACGTGCTACGATGCGATCGGGCTTTTGCTCATGGTGCGCCTGACGCTGCAGCACCAGCACATCCTCGAGCAGCGTCGCGTACCGGTCCTCGAGACGTACCTGAACCGCGTGCTCGTCTTGTTGTGGCCTCGGATATACGCCGTCCTGGACTTGAACGTTCAAAGCGTCAAGCAGGCCAAGCCCAAGAAACTCGGCGCGGTCGAGCTGCATCCGCATTACGTGACCCGACGGTACGCCGAGTTTGTCGCGAGCGTACTGGGGCTCGTCCCGGAAGCAGCATCGGATGGAGCGCCGCCCACCCACGGACCCGACGGCGTGTACATGCACATGGCCGCGTTGCGGGAAGCGCTCGTGGCGCTGCTCGAGACACTGGCCGGCGTCCACAAATCCACCAAGGACAAGTGTGTGTTTTTAATCAACAACTACGACTTGGTCGTCAGCGTCGTCGACGAGCGCAAGATTGCGTCGGACGAAACGACCAAGTTTGGCGAGCTGTTGCTGCAGCAGCGCGAAAAGTTTGTGGAAGAGGAGCTCATGACGCAGTACGGGTCGCTCATCGCGTTTGTGCAGCACACGGAGGCGACGAAAGCGGCGGTCGACACGTCGTCCAAGGTCGAAAAGATCGTGCGCGAGTTCAACGCGCAGTGGAAAGCTGGCATCGAAACGATCCATGCGAACGTGATGAAGTACTTTAGCAACTTTCGCAACGGGATGGAAATTCTCAAGCAAGTGCTCACCCAACTGCTCCTGTACTACACGCGGTTTGTCGACGTTGTCAAGAAGAGCTGGGCGCGGCCCCCGAGCTTTAGCAACGACATCGTGACGACTCAAGAGATCCTGTACGAGATCAAAAAGTATAGCCGGTCGTTTTAATGGCCACGACCGAACGGATCGGCTGCTGCAAAACCACGTGGGCCGCACGCGCAGTTTGGTTGTCGTGCTCGTGGCGAACAGGTTGACTTGCGCGCATGGCGGCGCCGGCACGCATGCTTTTTGCACGCATGGAACGCTCCGTTGAATTGCCACCACGTCTTCTCGCGCCAACGTCGTGAAATAGCAAGGACGGGGATGGAATTGTCGGTTGGACGAGATTGAACTGGATGACGACGGCGACGGTGTACGTAGCCGCTTGGTCGTGCCATCGGATACGAGGCACCATGCCTTGGATCTGCGGATGCATGACGGGTTTGGAGGATGCTCGAGGGATTTCCTGGAAGTGTATGGTGGTTTTCTCGAGCACCACGTCGTTGCCCGCTGCGACATGTGCAGCCCAACACCCACGGGAGAACTCGATCAGAGACACAACAAGTCGGTGCCCGCGATAAACACGCCAGCGCTGACCGATGCCAACTCGAAACCAACTCGATCGCGAGGATATGGTATATTAAACACACGACAGTCGATTACGAGCGGATGGACTTGCGCACGGGCGCGACCTTCTTCTCGGCAAAAGCAGGCAAGACGAAGGCGGCTTCGTGAAGCTTGGAGCTGTAGTACGACAGTCCTTCGGCGGTCTTGGCGTCGACAAGGCGCTTCGGTTTGTTCAATGTGTCGACCGACTCGTCCAACGAGCACAGCACGAATCCAATTTGTCCCGACGGGTACGACGGAATCGTCGTGTATGCGTATTGGACGGTCGGGAAGAATTGACCGACACGGCCCAGCACGTCGGCAATCAGGTCCAAGTGGAGCCACAAGCATTCGCCTTGCGTGCACACGATGCCGTTCGGGTTCAACGCGTTCTTGAGGTTTTCGTAGAATTCCGAGCGGAACAAGACTTCGGCGGGGCCGACCGGATCGGACGAGTCGACAATGATCACGTCAAATTTGCCGCACTCGCCCGACCGCAAGTACTCGGCAGCGTCTTGGAAGAGCAACGTCAAGCGGGGGTCGTTCAATGCAGACGCCATCTTGGGGAGGTACACGCGGGACACTTCCGTGACCTTGGGGTCGATTTCGCACATGACAATCTTTTCCACGCCCGTGTGCTTGGCGACTTCGCGAGCGACACCTCCGTCGCCACCGCCGACAATGAGCACCGACTTGGGGTTCGCATGCGAGTACAGCGGCAAGTGCGAGATCATTTCTTGGTACGAGAACTCGTCGCGCTCCGTGCACTGGATCACGCCGTCCAGCACGAGCACGTTCCCGTACGTTTGCGACTTGAACACGAGCACGTCTTGAAAGTCCGACTTGCCGTGGTACAGCACTTCTTCCTGCGCGAGGCAGAACTTCTGGCCGGGCCACATGGCTTCGGTCTCACTGAACCACGTCGTGGGCTTGGTGGAGGTCATCCTGGTCGTGCGCTGCGCGAGGGGAGTTGGAAAATGGAAGGCGGTGGGCGACTTGAAGCGGCCACCGAGGCGCATGGCTCGCCTCATTCAGTGGCTGGCTGCGGTTAGGTGACGATTTGATTGGATGGAACTGTATTTTAAAACAAATCCACGCCCCAGTATACAAACCCCTAGTTGGAATATAAAACACAACGAGATGCAACCGAATGGGCGAACTTTGGGGCCGATGTCCCGATGGTGCACCGCCGGCGCAGCATTGCCGCGGATGCTTGCTTGACATGACAGAGCGCGTCCGACGGCATGGTAGATACCTCGTCAGGCTGAGATTGCTGCCATGTCTCGGGCACGAGGTGTAACCGAATCCGGTTTCGACAGCGACTCGCCGGCATGATCACGCCCAAGTCGCTGGTCGATGTCGCGAACGACAGTCACAAGAAGGCGTCGGAGACAGCTAGCCAGGACAAAATCGCCGACGCCAGTACCCACATATCGACTCCACATGCTGTTGGTGGTACGGACAACGTGCCTGTCAACAAGTCGCCGTCGCTCATGGACGTTGCCAAAGGACACGCCAAGCCAGCTCTGACGTCGTTGGTGCAGGTCGCACAGTCGAATTCGCCCCCCACCACTGTCACCGCGACCCCGTCGCTCATGAGCGTTGCTGCCAACAACTCCCCCAAGACCCTCCAGAGCACGGTGGAACCCTCCGCGCCGCGCAAGTCCCTCGCCGCTTCAGTGGCAGCCACCGCATCTCCGAGCGATTCCAATGCGCTCGTGGCAGTGGCGACCAAACTGCGGGAGGACCCGACGTCGACATTTGGCAAATCTGTTAAGTTGGCTGACGTCGCTGCAAAGATGGACAAGGAAAGGGCCGTGGAAATCTCGCTTGCGCTGCAGGACGCTTCTGTCGCCGTCAAAGCGGAGAGCGACGCCGTTGCTCAACAAGTGCTTCCGCAACTTGTCAAGGAAGTGAAGCAACAAGTGGACACGATCAAGATAGACCCAGTGAAGGCAGCGTTGAGCGCCGCAGCGATGGAAGTCAAGGACGAGGCCAAGGTTCTGGCACACAACCAAACGGCAGCTGTGCTCCAGGCGTGTGCGACCGAAGTGAAACAGAAGGCGGCGGTGCCAATAGCCCAGCACCTGCCGTCCTCCCCAACCTACAGCCAGGTGGGAGGCGATCCAGTCCGTAGCGCTGTGCTCACATGAATGCAGGGCGACGACTTCGAAGATGAAGAGTCGGTCAAATCCATGCATACCAAGAAGGCGGCGGCGGTGAACAATCAGAGTGAAGAGATCGCCGAGATCGAGCGCACGTCGGTGTCCACGGACAAAAGCCATCGAGAGTTCCTTCTCGCGGTGTTCCGAGGGAATATGCAAAAGATCCGCAGCTTGATGGACGCGGACGCCGACCTGATCCATGCAACGGACCAACATGGATGGAATGCGCTCCACTGGGCCGCGTCGCAAGGCCACGGAGACGTGCTCAAGTACTTGCTGCAGAAAGGTGCGATCGCACATGCCGCGGAGCCGGTGAACTTGTGGTCACCCCTTCATGTTGCTGTGATTCGAGCCCATGTCGCGTGTGTGAAGCTACTGATGGACAACGGCGCCATGACTTCTGTCAAGCAGAAGGACGTGTACGGCGATCGACCTGTAGATTGCGCAGCAAACTTGGCTGGACGTAGACGGATACAGATCCTCGCAACGTTGAACGTCGAGGGAAAAGATACATAGGGATTACATGGAAAGCAAGGAAGGTGTCTATCTACGAGGTGTGATCGTCCGCCGACTTGCAGGGTCGCAAGCGACGTACGAGCAGCAACAGGATCGGCTTACGACGACGCGCCGAACGACCCGACGTTGTCCTTTTTGTCGGATTTCTCTACCTTGACGCTCTCCCGGTACTTTTGGAGGTACAACTTGAGGGGTTCTACGTACGAATCGAAGCCCAAGGTGCTCATCGCCCAGATGATGTCGTCACCGTTGATCGTCTTTCGCTTTTCTTGCTGGCACTTGTCACTTGCTTCAGACGTGATGAACGAAATGAACTCGGACACGCACTCCTGTACGGTTTCCTTGCCATCCTTGGCGATCTTGGCGGTGTTCGGAAGGGATACCTTCATGATACGGGAGATATTGGCCGTGGGGAGGAAGCGATCTTGCTCGCGGATCTCGTCGTCGTTCATGTCGTCCTTGCTGCTCATCGTACTCGGGTTGGGTGGCGAAGGTGAGAATGCTGGGACGCCACCTTGGCCGCCCTGGAAGTTTTTTATTTCAGTGGAGTGTTGTTTTGAAAACCTACAATTTATACATGAACTTTGTGTGGAAAATTAAAAACTGGGCAAAAAAATACACACCCAACGACGTTTGAAAATTCAAATTTTTCACATCGCTCTTTTTGAATACAATAACTTGGATTCAGTATCCCAACCTGTATGTTCGATAATCGATATATTTGTGGAATCAGCCAATCGGGTTCGAGAATTCTTTATTTTTATCCAATCGTGTCGCTGCAACTTGGCCATTTCCGCATAGTTTCGCGCATACAAGCCGGCATGGTGCGTCGAGTATGGGAAGGAATCGCCGTCTTCAAGCACTCGTTGTCACGATGATCAAGCGAATGACCCTGCAATAGCGTTGATGGAGAGCACGACTGTCGAGACAACCCCAACTTGGAACGCGATGGTTCGAGGAAGAAACACAGCATTGGCAAATGCAATCGTGTGGACAATGCGACACACGGTGTAGAGGATGAATGCGACACTCGTGACCGTTCCATTCCCGCCCGCAACGATTGCAACCCATGCCATGATGATCCCAAACGGGAGGTTTTCCACGTCGTTGCCTAGAATGCGGCTCCATCGAGCTTCCCTGGCCTTGGCAGCTTCGAGGTCTTCCTCGGATGTTTCAGGAATGAACGCCCGTTGCTGCGGCGCCGACGACGCCGCAAACGACATGTCCTCTGGAGGGCGACTCGCCGTCTTGAATTTGGTGCTCCCTTGGATCGTCAACGTCACAAAGTACTTGATGTACAGCGCGAGCGTGCACAGGGTCGCGATACGGACGTCGGTGGCGGTCGCTGGCATTCCAACTAGCAGCAAATGGTCGAGTGGCGTTTCGAGACTTTCTTTTATCGAATTTCGTACAGATACAGGGAACGATGTAAATCCTTCCCCCGTGGTACTGGAGATATTATCTTGAAATTTGTATAGTGCCCTTGTATTTGGTCGGTGGAATTTGCCATTCCGTTGAGCTCGCAGTTGCATTGGACACGGCTGCTGTCCTCACTCCAACCAACCTCTCATAGGACTTTTACTTCGTTTCGGGGCGGTGTGAATACATCTGGCATAGTACCAGTCAGCAGGTTGTGGGTAAGCGTTCGACTACAACGATGCCACAGATACCTTCACGAGGCACTGCTTCCCAAGTAGCAGTGTACTTCGCTTGACCATCATGGCTCATCTTCCATCCAGGTACAAAGATAGTACTACTACTTAGTACTAAAGTACTAGAATTCCATAGTACATCTCCACTCTACTACATTGCAAGGTTGTATACACTTCACGAATTGTGCTAAAATTTTGCGCAATTTTGACACTACTACTACGTACTACTACCTCTGTTTTGGAACTATTGCGAGCGGGACCAGATGGACAACTTCCAGAACTCTGATTGGCAAAAAAATTAGTGGATCGTGTTCCTTTGAATGAGCTGAATCAACTGGTATTTTTTGGTGAATTATATTTTCAATTTTCTCCTGAAACCGT